TCGGGATTCTTCTTCCATAGAATGAAAATACAACATTTTAGGGTTATGGAAATTGTCGACATGTAATAGACGCAAAAAAAGTCTATATGAAAATTAAATTTTGATTGAAGATGAGCACTAGTAAAGAGATTTTTGCGAGTTTTCTGAAAACTTCTATTGACGATTTTTATGTAGCTTGAGTTCACCATTTCCTTGCTCGTTTTTTATTATTATCTAAGTGATATGTACTTCTGAAAGATCTATCACTGCAAATAGTAGAATAATTATTCATGTTTTTCTAAAGACAAACTATATGAGTATGAATTGTAATATATTACATAGATAACAAGAAAGAAAAACAATCAAACTACATCATCATAAAAGATGTACATGTTAGTAGATAACTGCTCTTGTAGAACCATCAAGATCAGAAAACAATATATAGTCAATAAATGCGTAGATAGATAGATAAATGATCAGAAAAGTGATTCAGTCTGTTCATGGACGACTTGATACGTAGTAGGATTAAGTTAAATTATTAATTGTGTCTGTTGCTCTTTAATCAATCGAGCAAGTTTGAATGCGTTGATAACCATTAGAACCTGCAACAACAAATTGATCATCGAATATAGAAAACATGAAATTATAGGCGGGTATTTACACTTAAAATACTAGCCATAGCTATTAAAATGATAATAATAATCGATGCAGTGATTCCTCCATCGACACTATTTGCTATTGATACATCTATAGTAGTTGTAATGGTGAGTAGTATAACCAGACAAACAAGGCATAAAAGATGTAGGATACCAATCCAAGCAAACTATTACAACGAAAATGAACGACAGAAACAATGAATATAAAATCATACTTACAATAAGAATACCGATGCGAACATATTTAATAACCACAAGAAGAAAAACTAGTTCATAGATTAGTGCAATAACACCTACAGAAATAAAATGAAACATGAATATCAGAATAAAATCAATGACTTACTTGCTACCACAGTACCAATGTAAGTGTTAATGTACACATTATCACGATCGTTTTCGTTAGAGTAAAGATAACTGATTAGTATGATTAAATGTCGAATAAAATAGACTAATACAAAAGCCTAGATAGAAATGTTAAAAGTAGATCAAATTCGATTTCATTTCGACATGAATCTTTCTTTCTTTTTTTTATTTAGAACGTACGATTTGAATCAATATGAGAATGATGAGAATTATTCGTGCTCGTCTTAATGCTTTGATTAGACCGAAGTCACTTTGATTGGATGTTAATTGTTGAATTGATTGTGAAATAGTGTTATTCTTATGATTTTTAAATGATTCAACAATATTCACACGATCTTCAGACATTTGATACTGCATTGTTGTCAAAAATAAGGACTTTAGTTCTTGACAATCAAATATATTGTAATGAAAATTCGAATAAAGGAAGTTGATGTTTAATGAATAATACGAATCACTAATGTATGTAAACAGAAAAGAAAAATGTACCTTTTTACCAATACGTCATTTAACAAAAAAGAAAAACAAAACCCACGTTTAAATGGTGGGAAGACTGTGTAATCATTCTTTCCCTCTTTTATATGTTAATTAGTCATATGTAATATTTTTCTGTACAAGTGAGGCGAATGTTTATTCGATTATATAAAAATTTGATCGATCACTTTTATTTTTATTATAGGAATGATATCATTTTTTTCTTCAAGTATCAATAAAGCATATTTGTCATGAAATATAAGAAGAAAAAAATATCTAAAGATTCATCATTGTCATGACCTGCATGTTCTTTCGATTCAGTCATAAAGACTTTTTCTCTTGATCTGTAGTATTATACATATGCATTAATGTTTCTTCTTCTTTTTCTTATTATTAGTCATGCGCTATGAACTTCTCCTTTCTTGTCATATATGTTGGATTTTTCTTTCTCTTCCATGTTGTTCTATGGATTTTGCTTTCTTTGTTCAACGTCTACGAGATTTTCCATTAAGGAGTTGTCCCATGTTATCGTTCTATACATATATTTGTTAGATATAGAATGTTTGAAGAAATTTTCTTTTTTCTACAGACTGATAGTAAAAACAAAGTTCTACATTTCTGCACTATTTGACCATCCTTCATCTAATATTATAATAATAAAATTTTCATTAAACTTGTTGAGCTATGATATGTAACGATTTGATAGAAATAAGATTGAGCACTGTGCTTTTCACTGTTGGAAGACGAAGATAAACACGTATCGAATCGTATATTAAAAGCTTCCTGACCGATTTTTTAAACTTTCTAATCAATCTTTTTGAAAACCAACGTACTTTTGTGAATTGATCATAATGATTTTTCAATTATCAAACGTCCATTCAAAACACCAATCACAGTCGAAGATTTACAAAACTGCAAAAATATTAGCGGTTTATATTTTATCACTCAGCAGTTATAAGTATTCTTGTCAACAGTCTAAATCGACTTTCTAGAAATATTGTGAAAAAAAAACATCACTTTTTTTGTTTTCCTCTTTTTTTAAATAAAAGCTTATTTTTCCAATATGAAGAAAACTAATTGAAAAAATTTCAGAAATAATATTAGAAAATGCTAAAATATATGACAAGTCTAATAAAAATTTTATTATTATGATATTAGATGAATAATGATCAACTATTAGTTTAAAATTGAAAACTAAGCTTTAAAATGTCATTTGATAGTGTTGAAAAGGGAAGTATGGTCCGGGATGATTCTGTTAGATAAGAGCATTTGGATTCTGGTTGATATTTCTTCCGCTTTCGTGAAATACGAGCTAAAAGGAGTACTGAAGTATGTAGGGTAAAAATGTCGAGCCACTCATTCCACGAGAAACTATGACAGACATTTCTAATTAATAATTCATTATTGACCAAATAATGATTAATTAATGAAAAGTATATTGAAGGATATAGAAGAGAAGTGACAAGTATTTCGATAGTTTATTCTATATGACCAACCAAGATAATACGATCAAAATGTATGGAGTACTCCTTAACAAATGGAACAGACCAATCGTGTTTCACATTTTAATCCTCCAGGGATTGCAATAGCAGCTTTTGCGGAATGAAAGAATAGCGCTCCTATCCTGCCAGTAGTTAAACATGAACGGGATGCTATACTACATGCATTTGAAGTCTCATTTCTGTATCGTTATTATATTGTTTTACCAATAATTCGACGTCATTATCCAAAGATTCAATGGTCAAAAATTGTTAATGTTGTTAAACAAACTTCACCTAATTCGTTAGAATCAGGTAAATTATTTCTTCTCTTTATCTCATAATCGAACAAAGTCTAAATCTTAATTTAGCTCATCGTCCACCATCACCAAAGATTGTGGCAAAACGACGCGAGTTTCAATCACTTTGTTCAATTGATCTGGATGAGCTTGTCCGTTTATCAAATGTACGCAACGAAGTGATGCACATTCAAATCGCTAATATCGATGAACAAAAAATGTTATTGGAACAAATTGAACATTATTTAGACTCGAAATCGATCAGAGAGTTCAAAGACAGTATAAAATATATGTTAAATGAATTGAAAAATCATCAACTGGAGAAAATACAAAATTTTTTTAATTAATAAACTAACTTTCACCTAAAATTTACCGCTTTCCATATTATCTACTTGACTGATGAAAGTTACCTGTGTCAATGTAGTCAACGCAATTTATTCTATTAGAAGAAAATGCTCAAGACTATTGATAGTAGTGAAGATAATTCTTATTGTATTGATTCTTTCGACAGTTTGTCTTTCAATATTTTCAATTCATTTAGATGCATAGACAACAGAAGAGACTATTGCTTCTAATGTTGATCTGTTGTCTGTATGTGTATGCATTGATAGATGTGTTTCGATTGTGACGCAAAAAGTCTGACATGGGCATCGGTTATTTATGGTGTATTTTTATGTATTGATTATTTCACAAGACATCGTGATCTTGATGCTCATTTATCATTTACTCGTTCAACCAATCTTGATACTAGTTGGGATGGCTTCAACGTCGGTATGTTCTATTCGAATATTAATTTTCAATCGTTATGTTTTCTTGTATATTTAGAGTCATGCAAGTTGGCGGAAATACTAATGCTGTAAGTATTATATCATATGATGATCAATGAAAATTCTAAGATTGATTTTTTTTTAGGAAGCATTTTTTCAACAACATGGGTGTGAAACAAAAGATAGTCAACAAAAATGTAGTAGTCGAGCTGCAGAACTTTATCGTGAAAAACTTCATCAACTTGCTACTAAAGCGATGAAAGAATATGGAACTAAAATAATGAAATATTAAGAAAGAATTATTTTTATGATATTTATGATATTTTTCTTTAGTTTTTTTTTTTGATGAAGGACATAAGAGTAAACATAGTCATGCAACATTTGAAAAAAAAGAAGGTGATTTCTTCCATGAAAATTCTCAACCATCAACTAAAACTGGTTGAAATGATAATGTAACAATCTCTTCACATTCAAGCAATCAAAGTCTTGATTATCATCGATTGATCCAAATGCATTCAATAATGATGGTTCAGTAAAAACACTCGATCCAAAAAAAAACAATAATTGGTCAACGTCGACCACTAGTAGCAAAAAAGGTTTGTTTATCTGAATGATAGCTTAGTTTCAATTGTACTCTGTTTTTTGATAAAATAAATTAAATTATTGTTTTTTGTTTAGAAAGATTTTGATGCACAAAAAAGTGACAGGTAATTTCAAAGAAATCGAACGTAATATTCAAGAGCACGAAAAATTTCGTGAAGAAGCAGAAAAACAACTTGAAAAAGACATGTAAATGAATTATTTATAATAAAAAACAAATCATACTTTTATATTTTAGGGCAAATCTTAAACTTGCTTATCAAGATATAAATAAAAAACGTGAATTAGAAGAAGCTAAATTAAAACAATCAAATTCAAACAAAGCTGAACAAACGGAACGTCTTGGCATGGGATTTGGCAATCGAAGGTAGAATTTATATTTAAATAAAAAGAAGAATAAATAAATTATTATCTTTTATGTATTTAGTGGTGTAAGTCATAGTACTATGACTGATATGTAAACAATTCAACAAGAAGGTGTAACAACAACAAGAAATGTTTCACTTGCACCACGAAATCGAAAAAAGAACGAGAGAAAGACCTATATAATTTTATATAATACTTGCCTAACTTAATGCTTTATTTAGTTATAACTACCTTTAATAGAAAAGAGTCTTTGTTAAGAACGAACGTGATAGAAAACCATTTATCCTGAAAATATTTACTTGCTATTCGAACTTGGCATACTGGCTAACTTGTAAATTATAACAAGGGATAAAAATTTTATCAATGTCTTATTAAATGAGATAAAACTTCGTCCATACAAAATTTAAAGATTATTAAAGAATTGTGAAATAGAAATCTACACGAACAAATCTTACATAAACATTCTATAAATTTTTTCTCAAGTTATCAATACTTGAATTATTTTCTTTTGTTCGTATTTATTGTCTTGTCAAGGCGACAATTATTAAATAGTTTGCTTGATAATCTATTAATTCTAATTAAAAATAAAACAAATTGTAGAGAAAAATTAACTGGAAAAAACTACAATAAATGCAGTAGATCAAATTTTCATTTTGTTTTTTTTCTCTTACATAGACTGAATGATAATCAATTTAAACCAAAATCTCTATCGAAAAATACGGATTCATTCAGTGCTGATTGGGAAGTTATTGATCGAAAAACTCCAACAAAAGAGTTTGAATCAAGTGGAAGGAATAGTTCATCATATTCCAATTATGGTAGTTCAACTACTAATAGTGCTGGATATAGGTAAAAAAAGATTTTCAGTAAAATATTATAAATCATTTTTATTAGTTCTTCATCAAAATCACAGCAGTGTTCAGACTTCCAAAAAAGGAAATTTCAGAAGTTTCGGAGATTTCAAGCATTTGTGTTCAGCATTTTACGTTACTTCCTAAAATGATGTAAGTTCCGAAATTTCTGAAATTTCCGCAATTATGTACTTACAGAAATTTCAGAAATTACAGAAATTACTAAAAATTCTGAAATTTCCAACATGTCTAAAAACTTTTGATTTGCACTGCTATATAGTTATCGAGCTGATGGAAATTTCAGAAATTTGGGTAATTTCCTTTTTTGGAAATCTGAACATACCTCAAGTTAGTTGGTTTCCAAGTGAAACATTTGCATTTCTTATAAATAAACAATAATCAATGTCACAAACAGATTAACAACAAAAAAAGAAAACTTTCTTTCAACCATTGAATAATCTCTACAGATATATTCTTATTTTTCAAAAGTATAATTTATATATCTTCAAAAAGAAAGACACATGTGTATTACAATGGCTAAACAACAATGAATGAAGGTGAAACATACATCAAAAAAAGAAAAATCTTATGAAAAAAAAAGAACTTTTTGTTGTTTCTCTTCTATTTGATAAACTTATATCGTTTCAAGAAAAAAACATTGAAAGAATAATTTCACGACATCAGTACAATGATAAAATATAGAATAATAACAATAACAACAAAAAAAAAAGATCTCGTTGGTTGTTTTGTTTCAATGACAATGTTCATTATAATCAATAATAGATGTACGACGCCAAGCAAATAAGAAATGACCTACACCAGCGCCGAGTATAATAGCCAAAAATAGATAAATATTAAATGTCATAGCTATTAACATTAATAAATAGCTAATACCCATTTGAAGAATATGTAAAATTGTTTGAATAAAATGCCGAAGACTCAATAAACGAGCTCTAAAAATATAACAAAATTCATTAATCAAATTCAACAAATCATTGAAATTCTATTTTTTGTTAATCAACTATGACTCACCGTTTATTAGTACGGACTTTTTCTGTTTGAACTCTTGGTATTAAATCATTATTATTAGAATTTTCATATTGTTGACCTTGATGTCGTAAACTAGAGTAGCAATTATAACAATCACCAAATTTTATTTCGTAAGAAAATTTTTACTTCATGTTAGCGATTAATTACATGAGCACATGCATATTATTTCTTTAAAATAAACTTACAGTGATGGTTGACCTTCACGTTCTTGACCACATTGACATCCGTCACGTTTTGATAATTGATCTCGAGCAGTTTTTAATCCTTCATAGAGTATAGCAACGAAAAAAATGAGAAGCCAAGATCCAATAAATGCTTAAAACAAAAAAACAAAAGCGAAATTTCTTTTTTTTTGTTTGAAATAAAAAAAAAACCAGATATTAATTATTTACCAGTCATTGTTTGTGTATTCCATTGTTCAAATAAAATTTGCTCTTTAAAACCACCATGGAAGGCCATCTATTGAAAAGAAAAATTTTTTTTTTTAGATTTAGAAATTTTAAATTTTCAAATCATGATCGTTGATTTCCGAATGACTATCGTTTAAGCAATCAGTAAATAAAATTGATGAATAGTCAATCAAATTAAAGGATAAGCCATAGGAATTGAAATGATCGAAGGCAAATTTAAAAAAAAAAATTATTTTCATAACGAATGACTCAAATCAAAATGATAGCTGGCATGAAAATATAGAACTCTGCGCATCAAATACAAATAGTATCTTTAACGTAATCAAAGAAAATGAAACATTTAGAGAAAAGACTTTATTTAATAGAGCAAGATGAGATGTCTTCGATCTCTTCATAATCTTCTTTTATCGAACTGCATTCTATTTACAGAAGGTTCAACAAGCATTTTTCTCTTCTTTCTATTGGAAATTTCGATGTTTTTGTCATGTTTGAAGCATTGGAATCTTCTATAAATTGAATGTAGTTCAATGAAGGAATGTTATGGAGAGATCGCAGATGTCTCACTTTACTCTATCAAATAAAATCTATTCCCAAAAGCTTCAAATAGAACCCAAAAAGCTGATTTTATTTAAAGTTATTTTTCATAATTAACAACAGATAATTTTAGTATTGATCTTTCAATATTTATACTAATCATTTATATATTTCTTTACTGTTTATTTTATCTATTTTATTGAGCAAAAATATCATGTTCTCTTTCAAAGAAATTTATCTTTTTAATAATATATAAAATATTTTGTAAAAAACAATATCAATATTGGCAAAAGGTAGAAAATTGACCGAATTTTACAATTGAAGATTAATAAGACCTTTTTGTTAGAGACCATAGAGCATTAATTGAAAGTAAATATACTTTGTGTTTTTTTCTTTTATCGAAATAATTGTCGACATTTCGATATTGACAATGTGCTGACTTCCTTCCGACATGCAGAATCTATTTGTATCACAAGGATAAAAAATTAACAAACTTCTTTTGTTTGATTAGTGTAAAAAAAAAATGAAAAATAAGTAGACAAAGCATGTTATTTTCGTTCTTATAGATTCATAATAAAAACTTAAAATCATGTTTATTGATCAAAAATTTGCTTATTTTATATTCTTCGTAACTTTAAAAAATAGATTTCTTTAGTTTTTGACTATAAACTTATCTTAAACGATATGATTAAGCATTTTATGACTGTCTCTTACAAGAAAGTTATTTTTTCTTTTGGTTTGAATGATGACAGAAATAATCTATTTAATAAGCATTACAAATCTCTTTTTTTTTTTAGCTTTCCCAAATAGAATATGTTCTCAGCAGGAATTATTCTCCCATCTATGATTATATGCAAATCATTATAATTAATGTAAATATTTGAAAATTGAATACTCACTGACATCATCATATTGTGAATCTGAGAACCACCATGTCCACTATGAACTGAGCTTGTATTTGTTTGTTCTTTTATCATATGATGAACATGGGTCATCATCGTAGTTGTAGTAGTAACAACCATCACTGGCTGATAATCCATATGATCGTGGTGATCGTGGTGATCGTGGTGGTCGTGATCCATTTTAGGTTCTAAAATTATAAATATTTTTATATATTTATAAAAATATAATTTTACATTTTGTTTAAAATCTATAAGTGAAAAAGATAAACGTTACAAATATACATCGAATCCGTTAATTATATTTTTCTTTCATCATTACTTTCTTTTCAATCAAGGCTAAAGAAACCAAAAACAACAATCAATATCATAACAATATTAAGTCCTTGAAATATAATCATCACTATATGTACGTATATACATTACAGAGTTAAAGAAAAACCACAAAACACTTTTTAACTAATCGCACTGAGTATGACTGCAGTCGATAGACAGACGTTAAATAAAGGAAAAGAAAAAGAAATAAAAACATTTATACGTTGTAATACAAAAAAAGGCAGAAATACAGTCAAAAAAATTTAAGTAAATTTACATAGTCGTTGGAGTTTTTGGTGTTGTCGAACTAGACTCATCAAGTACTTTTTTTTCTAATGCACACAAAAATATGCATACCATAAAGAAAAGAATGGCTTACAAAGAATCGAAAGCGTTTATAAGGGTAGAATCAGGATGCCAAATGAATGAACCAATAAAGTGTACATGTCGCTCAGTGACGAATGAGGGCGCTTGTATTTGGATTAAAGTAAATGCATGAGAAGAAAAATCTTAAGTTATTAACATGATAAAAATCTCATTGTTCATAGATCATTTGATGAGTAAGCAAATTTTAAAACTATTTGATCAATGATCTTTTAATGAAAAAGTGCAGTCAGTGTAATAACATTTTGAACTCATTCTGTTCATAGTGTCTAAATCTCTTTCAACCAAAATAAGAGGTATTTTTTTCTTCTACTATTCAAAATAGGATCATTATTTCGATTAAAATATCATTAGAAGAATTCCATTCATGACTTTTTATAATCTTATAGAAACGATTTAAAGAAATTGAATAACATTATGAAATCTTTAGTAGAAATTTACCTGTAAGATCGATTGAAAAAAATTTACAGTTCTCGTTTTCAAAGTCAATAACTCGATCTAAAACGATATTAATATTCTTATTCTTTTAATCTATCTTTTGATATTATGTAATTATAACAAGTGTTCATCGTCACATTTGTCTAACTTTGATTGTCATATTATACTGTTACTGTTTGTGATGTATATGATTATTACACAATAGGTTTGTAACGAAAGAGAAGAACCTATTATGCTTATGCAGATTAGATGAGAAACTATCGAAGCGAATAACACAGAGAATTACGATAGTTGTTTTTGTTTGGAAATTTGTTATGTCTGATTTTGAGAAAAAAAATCAAAGTCGAGCTTTGGTTATGTGAGAAATAATCAGAACTTTTTTTGTATTTACTATATTTTTGAAATAGAGAGTTTACACTTGTCTTCTAGTATTAATTCATGAAATATGGTTCGGCAAATAGCATAACATGAAGTTTTAAAAAAATCCTACTTTTTGTTAAAAAACATAGAAAAATATATGAGTAATTCTGATTGATTTGTTTCTTCAATAATACTTTCGACAAGATCTTGATTATTTCAAATGGGGTTTTAGGGAAGCAAAATTCAATTACATAGAATTTTGATTGACAATAAAAGGAAAATGAAATCAAACGAGGAAACCTTTCAAGATATCTCCTTCCGATTTCATTTATTTTTGTCTATAGACATCACACAGTATTCTAGTAGAAAACCCTAAAAGAATTTGTGTCCCTATTGAAATTTGGTGAAGTTATAGAATTTTAATATGTTGATGTCATAGTGATTCTTTCAGGACCTCAGATTTTCTTGAAAACCTGCCGTCCTACAGGAATCTCTTGAAAATATTCATAGTAAAAATTCGATAACTTTGCCAAATCTTAATAGAATTCCGAATCATTTCGGAGATATTATTAGAACACCATGTAGTGTCTATAGACAAAAAATCATTGAAATTAGAAGTTTAACATCTACAAGATTACATAGCTAGCGACTAAAATATAAGAAAAGTATATTAGTATATAGAACTAAGATGTCGAAAATTCATTTCTTTGAGATCAAGAACATCTAAGTCCTTCGAGAATGTCTTTAGATTATCATAGGAAAGAAACTATTTCTTTAGAATAGAAAGAGCCGCTATGGTTTTCTAGTTTTATATGATACAACGGATTCAATTATTCTTTTCATGAACCTTCGAGTAAGTATTGCTTTTCTTTCTCTAGTTCTATATTACAATGCTACTTTTCAGTCAAATGCGAAAGCTTATAAAATGTGTGTACATATATCAATCTTTATGATATTACATACGTAAGAATGAGTCATAAAGTAAAATATATTTGCGTTAACATGCAAGACAATTTGAGAATGATCAAAAAACGAAACATATGTAGTAAACATACATACCCTGCTTTATAAGATGAACGTCTTCACCAGTCGATCATCTACGTACATTAGAAGTACAATCAAAACTGAAGGATATAATGATTATCTGATAACTACTAGGCATATAGAAGCATGAATACTAATAAGTATAGGCAAATTCGAAAAATTGAATGATGTGGTTGAGTCAATATAATATGGATTATATGAGAGTGATTTCACTTTAATGAGATATCAATGAATATACGCCGAATAAAAAACATTATATTCTTGCATGAAGCAGCATGTACACTATAAAATCTCAGAAATTTTCATGGCGATATAGAATCACTTTGATAATAGTTTTCGTAAATACGATATTCTTTTGCATTGACATGTAGAGTTTAGCAAAACTCTAGTCATATTGCACAAACACACAAGCATGTTGCGTGCGACAATTTTCAAGGATAAGAGCCATGCAAAGCCTCGCATGTTTTGCTCAAAAAAATTAAAGAATTGTATTTCCATGCACACGTTTGCGACATGTGTGTCTATGATGCATGTGCTATTGTCTTGCATTCATGCGCGACAGTTGCAAATATTTTACAAAGCTTGCATATTTATGCATAAGATACGACGACTTGAAAAATATTTTGGAAGTGAACGCAAGTTTCTAAAAGTGTCCTGCAAATACATGTGTTTTTAAGTTTTCGCGTTGGACTAGGTAGAACATGGTTATATTATCGATGTATGAGTAAGAATGGATTTAAAAATTTTTATATATTAACAAATCAAGGAGAGCGTGTAACCAGAGAAAGAGAAGGAACAAGGGAGAAAGATGCGAGGCGAAGAATACGGCGTAATTTTACTGTAGTCCTTCTATAGAAGTAAATGTGTATATACATATATGAAGAGCAGTGGACAATTGTATTATATGATATTACACGAGTAAAGAAAAAAATTGATCCTATCAGAACAACAAAAAATATAATGAATGATATCAACTATAGAAAAGATATGCAGAATGAGTGGTAAGAAATATAAACTATAATAGAACGAAAAAAATGATATGTGAAAGGTGGGGTTTGTAACAATTGTCCTCTTCTCACCCAAACAAAGATGTATGTCTGCACACGTGATTCAGGAAAAAAGAAGCTGTTTGAGAGTATCTCATAACGATATAACATAATTATAAACTTGAACATTGGACAGAACGACACGAAAAGAAAGAAAGAAAATGTAACGCATGTTTCATATGTACAACAAATAAAATCTCACTGTTTATCATTGGAGAGAAAAAAGAAAAGACAAAGTCATTGTCCATAAGAAGAAAAAAAAATCTTCCCTTTTGTCATTGATAATATGACCTCTTGTTGATTCTGTAGTAATGTTTCTCTATGAACATTCTATTGTATAATAATTCATCCACTTGTTTTCATATCGTTTCATTCTTCAGGTCTAAGAATAGAGAATGACCGACCACATTGATGTTTATATAATAAATGTTCTTAATTATCAGATTTAATGGGCAAACATTTGAATATATATAAAATAATTTTCACAACAGTGATCAACATTCTGTTAAATATTTAAATGAATAACTTATAATAAAAAAATTACAACTAATATAAACTCGAGCTTTCGATGTATTTAAACATTGTTTTTGAGAGAAATATGTAAACTTTACGATAGAATCAACGAAAATGAAAGCATATTGGTTTATCTACTTATATATACCTTATTTGTACTTGATCACCCTCACGACTCATCACAGAAAAAACTTCTGTATGTTCCAGAAGTCTTTTTCCTTTTCATACATCCCAGAAATATTATTAGTGTAGTTGATCTAACAGTTATGTTTAAATTCGGTTTTAAAGCCATAATAACTAATGATTTCTTGATACGTAATCTTTATGCAGATCTATCTTTATATAATATATCCCAATCGATATAATTTATCTGGTGATTTAATTCAACTTCATGTTTACCTGAAGCAGATTTTAGATTAGACCGTTTATACAGATTCGTATATCATCTTGTTATTTAATCATCTTCATTTTCAGATATGTCTTTATATACAATTGTCGATAGTACTATTAATTGATTCAATGATGTACTTTGATGATCGAATTCTGTAACAGCAAAACAATCATTCCGTGAGCACATTGTCATACTATAGAAGAAAATGTGTACATATATATATATATATGAAGAGTGACAGACAACTGGATGATATGATGTCACACGAACAACGGAAAAAGATAGGTCTAATCACAACAACAAAGAATATAATAGATGATATCATTTATAGAAAAGAAATGCAAAACGAGGAGAAAAAAAGCATGAACTATAATAGAATGAAAGAAATGATATGTGAAAGCAGTGCCTGTAACAAATGCATAGTTCCATTTAGGACAAATTAATTTTTATGTTAAAGGCAAGAGTTACAATCTATGATTCACTGTTTTTATTGACTTCCATTGTATAAAAATCATGCTATCTGTCTTAAAATTCTCTATTCAACTAATAACTATTTTTATTTAAAGAAAAAAAAACTATGACTACGTAAATTTCTTGCATAGTTTGTGTTTACTCTTGTTCAAATATATAAGTATACGGTCTGAATATATTTCTTTTTATTAGTTATAACACAAGTGATATGATATTTCTATTTAATAACATTTTTTTTTTCATTTCCTCTTTTCTCTTTATAATTTCTTTTATAAATTGAATAAAAAAACTGAAAAATTTATTGTTGCATGGCATATCATTTAAGTTATGTGAAGTGTGTAATGCTTAACATAAAAAGCAAAGAAAATGAGAAAAACGCCAGGTCTCTAGTGAGAAGAACTATTTCTATCCGCATCAAATTTTTTCTGAAACAAGAAAATTAATAATGTAGTCGAACAAGACAAAAAAGCAGAGAAGAAAATATAGACCTTTGAAACCATTTATATAAAAGTGTGAAAAAAACAACTCATTTTCTTTTATATTCATTTCAATTGATGCATACTGTTATAAAAAAATAAGAAAATATGTTAGCATATCATAATGCATCCATGGGTTTTGGCGCTATGCATACAGATGACATATTATCATATGATAATAATCACGGTTATACGAATTATCAACATCAATATGAACTTAATCAATTAGAAACATCAAGAACTCAACAATGTTTAAAAAAAACAACAAAATTTTTACTTTCACACATTGGTTTAGTTGGTCTTGTTGTTGTTTATGCTGTAGCTGGTGGATTTTTATTTCAATTACTTGAAGAACGCCAAGAAAAACTTAATTGTCAAGAAGCACAAAGTGAACAAATTGTCGAAATAAACAATTTGAAACAAAAAATTGTTAATTATATACAAAAAAATACAACGACATCAACAGATTTTTTTGCAGTTGGAAAAGATAATACAACAATTGCATTTGCAAAAATTGGCTCTATGTTATATGAATATCGAGAATTTATTATTGGTATAAATTCAAAATATCAATATTATGTTGATGATTGTGGACATCTTCGTCAATGGAGTTATGCTAATTCATTACTTTTTTCAATTACAGTTATAACAACTATTGGTTATGGAAATATAACGTAAGTTATAGATTTTCTGATAATATATAAAAGAAAAATATTTTTTGTTTTCTAGACCAACGACATGTAAGTCTGAAACAAAATTTAAATTTTTAAAAATTGTATCTCTAAATATCTTAGGGGAAGGTCAATTATGTTGTATATGTTATGCAACAATAGGTATACCAATATTTCTTTTATGTCTAGCAAATATAAGTGGTGTACTTGGCGAAATGTTTCGTTTTCTTTATGCTAAAGTTTTATGTCTACCATGTTTAATTGTAAGACATCATCGTACATTAGCAAATAAAGTTAAACTTGGAGAAGACAATGGAATAAGTACAGATCGTGCAGATTCTAATGATAGAACATTAGACGATGGAAATAAGAAAAATCCATTAAGAAAATTATCAAATAGAATAGTACTTGATGATGAATTATATGAAGAAGAAAATCGAAAATATCATCGTGTTGCTGTACCATTAACAATTACAATGCTTATTATTGCAGCATATATATGGATTGGTTCTGCTTTATTTCATAATTTTGAAGATTGGTCGATGATGGAAGCAGGATATTTTTGTTTTATTACATTGGGTAAGAAAATTTTTAAAAAATATAAAAACAAAAAATTAAAATTTCTTTTGTTTTGTTTTTTAGCAACGATTGGATTTGGTGATTTTGTAAGTAGATAGAACAGTTTTGTTTTCGTTTGACTTTCTCCTCAAAAAAAAAAAGAAACAATATTAATTTAGACTCCCGGTCAACGAAAAGGCGATGTCAATTCAAGTCCAAAACTTCTTCTTGGAGCTGTATATGCTCTTTTTGGAATGGCTATTTTAGCAATGTGTTTCGATTTAATGCAAGAAGAAATAGTAGCAAAATTTTATTGGATTGGTACAAAAATTGGTATTATTGAAAAATATGATGAAAATAATAATCAAATAGATCAAATATCTAATACTAATACTAAAAATAAAAATCGTTCATCAACATCAACATCATCATCATCAATCAATGATTCTAATATAAGAAGAAATACAAATCGTACAATAATTGATAATGAAAATGAAAATGATTTATCAAAACAACATCATTCGACTGTAAAACGTAAAATTAGCCCACGATATAATCCAGCTCGTATTCATCCAATAGAATCTGGTGGAGGTGATGAAGCAACTCCTTATCAACGAGTAACTGCTACAAAATTTAATTAACTTTTTTTGTCTCAACTTGTATATATAACAAAACATATATATATATGTATATCGAATCTTACTTTAGCCTATTCTATGTGAAATAAATCATTATATGAGCTAATTACAACATTATTATATCGTTCCATTCTGATATATAAAAGTTAAATATCTTGAATTGTTCTCAATTAGTCTTTATAATTTTTTTAGATTAGATTCTTCATTATCACACATACACACTCAAATAAGGATTTATCATGGATAAATCTCAACGAGGGAACATTTTCAAGTGATCAGTTGCTTTCTCATCAAAGCCTAGTAGATTATAGGTTATCAACCATGCTGATTCCGAATATGATCATGAAAAATCTTCTTAGGTCTTCATATGCTGGTTTTCTAGACTAATAAACTTTTCTCTGAGAATTTTATTTTTTGATCTGTCTATATTATAGAGCATAACGAATTGTCCAGAAAAGAGCCATTTTGATTCATACAACAGATATATATATATCAACATTTCGATATCAAAATCTTCAAGATGATATTATTTTACTTGACACTCGTTTCTGGAAAATAGAACAGGTTTCTTCTTTTCTTGTTTAAATTTTGAAAGTTGATTAAATTACAAGAAACAATCTATAATTTTCGAATATAAGACTGAGTGACATTTATATAAAGATTTTTCTCATGTTTATTTTTCTGAATATCAATTGTACAATTATTGTCTGATTAAGAATAATTCGGAGATTGAATATTTCATCTAAAAATGATCGAAGTATTACTGATTAAAAGTTTTATTATTTCTTGTTTATAAAAACTATGAAAGAAAATTTGAAATTTTGATTGTTATACAAGATTTTTCATTTTGCTGGATCTATAATTCTCTTATGGTATGGCGATTTGAGATGAAATTTTGATCAACCTCCATTGAAAACATCAGCGCCAGAAAACATATGGCTCATTAAAAAAAAGAAAAAATAGTATCAATGTGTCACGCGAGATTTTCTATGAGAAAAGTTTCAGGCGAAATTATAGTAAGATGTATAATATTTCAGGACCAACGTTACTGTGAACTGATTCTAAATTGTGCCTTATGGAATCTGCTTAGTGCAAATGACGTCAGATCACGAATATATACAGTAAAATCTCTATTAGTGAATATCTTCCAATTATGAACGGTCTCGGATTTGACTGAGCAATTTTAGCGGAAAATGCCGCTCTCTAGTATAAACAGATGTGTTATTTTAGAAGACTTTCTTCATGACACAGTAAACCATGCGTCAATTCGTCTAAACTAAACACCTTCGTATAGCAAACGTTTTTTTTTTGACGATCTGGATGTTGTTCGTCATAGACAGGTTTTATTGTAGCATAAAACACATATTATTCAATTGATGTGGTTAAGATCTATTGAACATTGAGTCTTAATCGTATATCATGACACGTAAATAAAGTTCTTTCTACCTGTAATCTCAAGTACTTTTAGAGATTTTGAACAATTCTTGCATGCTTTGGCTATACTATGATAATATTATTTTACAGAACTAAATTTATTTCCTTCGCAAATTGACTTATAACATTTAGAAACTCTAAATCTTGGATTGAACTCTTCATTTTTCAACCGTACACGCACTGGGCTACTTTTTTTCAAATAGTAGTTCGTTTTCAGCTTATCGATAACTTTGTTGACCGTCGAAATATAATCAAAATAAGACGATTCTGACTGGTCCATTCGTGACGGAATCATGTTTGTCCAAACGTTCATTTCTTCAAACAGTTAACTTTAGTTTCTCAGAACAGACAAACTGGTATCATTTGTTAACACGGAAACATGAAAAACATTTTTCATTATCTTTCTGATAGCATAAAACGTCTGTTATGAAAACTTGAGATACATAATGAATAGTATTTTCGAAATGCTGCCTTCAATCATGATAATGAAAACAACTTGGAATCATCATAAACAAACTTCATAATTAAGCAGTGAGGTTTTAAAATCTCTTCGCCTATTTAGACATATATTACAGACAAAATGAGGGTGTGGATGTGTACCAGTGTCTTCTCTTCACCTACACGCCCACACTTACATCAATATCCACAGCCCATCCACAGGCAAAATTGAAGAACACCTACAACTGTATCAAATCAAGTTTATCCTAGAATATTTTAGGAACTACAATGTCTATGAGTACTATATATATATATATATTCCTCAAGGATTATAACCAGTATATGAACTCTTGGCACATCAATATTTGAGGAAAACTTGATTTTGTATATATCATTCGATGAACAGCAAATTCGCTGTACAGACCCATGTAAATGGTATCCTAATTCAAGATAGATTGCTAAATCTGGCGAGGTTCTTTGTTTTTGGCTAAACATAAACCATGAAGACACTCATTAGATGAAGCATTATTTCATATGCAATTAAAAGAACTTTCAGTTAGAAGATTAATTAGTGAGGAATGCATGAAACTATCAACAACCGAATCAACTTTAATCTAATGGTTTCTTCGGATAAATCGATTTATTTATTCTTCATAATATTTCAAAAAATTATAAGTAAGAGGAAAGAAGAATGAGTTCTATTGACGAAATGTGGACTATTATTATGTTCCCAACATTTCATTGTTTAATTACTGTTGACCATATCGTGAATTATTGTATGGTGCAGTATAATTTCGGTAACCATCGGGTGCTTGATAGTAAGTCGATCCATTACTATTTTGATAGTAATATGAACCATCGCGATTGCTGTAATGATATGAACCTATAAAAAAAATAAATTGCGCATATAGCCCTTGAAAGCAATTATAGCAATATACCTCCTTGAGCAGCTCCTTCTCCTCGATGATCATATCGATTACCATATTGATTAACACCTCGTTGCCAGTTTTGTGAATTTTGATTTGATGACATGTCGAGTAATAGATTATTTCTCTTGTGAAGTTTGTTAACTGCAGACCAGTGTGAAAAACAATTAATAAGTGTATGCTATTCTGGCGCCTGTTTATGTAGATAAGGATATTTATTTCATTATCTTCACTCACTTTGATACCTATATAAACAGAGATAAGGATTCTACAAAAATAGTGTTATGATAGCAAAAAATGTAGAATAAAGTTTACCTTTTGATCTTGTAGACAGTATTTTTATTCGTCTAGAATATTCTTATTTTCATTCACATTTCGTCATTTTTTATCTATCTGACTTAACAAATTCACTAAATAGATACATTGTATTAACTGGACAAATATAGCAAATCTGCTGTGATATATTCATGCTATCCGAGGATTCTTTTGCTGATGTATGATAAATCGTGGACAAATGAGCTAGTCATTAGTTTAAAAGCTGTACAAATCATAAAACTTTTATCAAAATCAGAATATGTCATCAGATGAGCTGATAATTTTCTATGTATATGTCTAGGCGTAATTTTGTTCTCTGCTTGATTTCAAGTAAAGCTCGCATCGCTGTACTTCCAGTAATGTATTAATTGGTTTACATGAGTTTTATTTGAAAGATTTAGATTTAGAGTAAGAAAAAATGATTGAAATGATCAGTGTTCTCAATATTTAAGTTTTGACAAAATTCCGAGCAAGAAATTCAAACATCAATGTTCATCTTGGAACTTTCTGTGTCAGATAATCGTCAAAGCTGTTTGGTTCAAGGAATGATGAAAAAAAATCGAACATTTTCTTCTAAATACAAGGAGATGTGGATGTGATTTCGAGTGTTAACCTTCTCTGCACAACAACAACCTTCGATGTACACCTCTTCGTATGATTGATGTGCGTATACAATGTTAGAGAATATTATGAAGACGATTTTCATTTGACATGCAAAAAATTTCGAAAATCTAGAGTCAAAATATTTTTCCGAGTTATAAATAAGTTCATAGAACTCATCGCATTCAATAGGAAAAATAGATTTTTCAATCCTAATTAAGCTCAATGTGATCAGAATATGAAGAAAATGTAAAACCATTTTAAGCTACCGATAAATATTGTTATTTTTTCATCACAGCAATCATTAGAAAAGAAAGAAACAAACGATTATCTAGGCCTAACAATCTTGGTTAACAACAAAATGAAATTCTCATCCATCATTTCTTCGTGTGAGAACATAGCGAATACTTATTTACCAATACATTATACCTAAAATAAATAAGATATGCACGCTTAGTTTTTCTCATTTTATATTGACTAGACGGAAGTACAATCTCATCGTATTGATATCCTGTCAATACATAGGTAATGCATTGTATTGCACGTAAACATCGAAGCGAAACAGTTGATTTTTTTAAACCTATTTCAGAACGAATTCTAGAGTGACTTTCATACTATGGATGGTCGGCATTATTCTAACTTTAGCAGCTACTACTGAATGTCTTACTTCAGGAATGTCGTGTCATAAGACGACAATGCAATGTTGTCCAGGATACGTGGTCTATCGTAGATAATGTATGGACATATTCAGTCAAAAATTGACATCGACTAATATACTCCCAATAACCTCGCTGTTAATTCACGTTTATATATGCAATTACTATATATATTATTTTTGCTTGCAATTGTGTTACAAAAGTATTGAATATTGCTGCATCTCACAGATACTATGTGATCATTTGGACTATGGTAACTATGTTGCAGATAGACACAGATGAATTCCTGTTTCTAAACCCTATCCTTTCAATCTAATAGAATATGCTAATTTAACTTTAACTACTGTATCAAAGTGTTTGTAAAGTGAAAGTGCCATTCCTAGTCATGTCCTTTCTGACGAAGTTAAAATTTATATTAAAAAAAGCTAATTAGTTCCTTGGATAGATCTCAAAAAGGTAACATTAGAGTACTCATTCGTAGAATAATAAATATTTTATTTTTGACCAAAAATGAACTACAAAATAGACTAATTTTCCAATGTAAATAACTTTCTTAAGAAGCGAGAAAATGCAGATCTCTTGTCACGTTTAAATCTAGAATATGTGATCGACTTTGATATAATCCATATTTGTTTATGTGAAAAATCAGAAACTAAAAAAATGTATGATGAAGATTGATTTTCATTGATTCTAAGTGATATTTCTTGAATAGCATTTTTTTTTCTACGATAAGTGGAACTACATATGTAGATTAAAATTACACTGCCATACAAGCTGATTATATTCGTTTTACTTAATTTTTAAGTTAAATTTCATCCATATAAATGGATCGTTATCAAAGACCTACGGAGTCACACATTTTTAACTCCGACTACGAAATTATTTTACCGTAAATTAGCGACAGCTTCAAAGTGGGTAATTTCTATAGAGGACATGGACGTGGCTTATTTTCCATCAAAAAACAGATGTTTTTAATAAATACTCAATAACAAATTGATGGGAAAAAGAAGTGATATTCGTGAAAGAATATTTTCCATGAAATTTTATTTTAAAAATTAACAAAATATCACATCATTTGATGTCGATTTTTTTCCATACGGATTCTAAATATGTCCTTATTTTCCTCTTAAAGTAATTCTAAGACAAAAGAATGCAAAAAACTTGTATTTCAATCCAGAAGCACTTACACATCTTTATGCTAATTGAATAGTCGTATTATACAGAGAAAAACATTCTATGGAAGTTTCATCGAGTTTGCAAGTGTGAAAATCGATTTTAGATCAATGTATGAAACCAAATTTTATTTAAAAAGTTACATTACACAATCTTTCCACAAACAGGATATATATTTATATGATGATTTTTTTCGACATTATGTATTTAGTAAAAAGAAAAGAAAAAAACAACCATACGCAGTTCGAAACAACAAAAAAATATTTTCATAATTCTGTATACCAACAGCATTGCATTCGATATTTATATATAGATATTTCATTCAAAAATCGAAGGTGCAAATAAATATTCAAATATATCTTTGTTGTTTTTTTTTTTAGGAAATACAAAAAGAATCATATATAAATATATATATAATTCTAATCTAAGGCGATAAACGTATAAATCGAAAAAGGAAAAAAAAAGAAAATATTTAAATTAATTTAATTAGCTTCTATTTCAGTTGAAAATCTTCTCGTAGGTATATGTTGGTGATGTGAATTTGTTTGAGATATAGAATTAATTGTTGTATTATTTTGAAATTCATCAATAAGTTGATAGAATGAATTTATAAACCATGGTGCATTATCACGTACTTTTTCTCGAATAATATTACCACCAAAACCAATAAATCCATCAGCATCTGCTTCCATATCAGTTGCACCATCACCAATCATTATTAAACGTTTATAATTATATTTTTTTTTAAGATATTCAATAACAAGTCCTTTACCACCAGAATCTGATGTCATTTCATTTTCATCAAAACCAGCATATGAACCATCATTATTAAATAATAATCGATTAGCAAATACATTTGTTAACGGAATATTTAAACATTTAGCAACAGGATCAACAATTGAATGAAAACCACCGGTTATTAAATAAACAGGTATATGACGTTCATGTAATAAATTAATAAGTTCAATAATACCATCAGTTAATTGTGATGGATGATTTATAAGAAATTGTTCTAAACGTTGTTGTGTTGGTTGAATAAGATTAAGACGTGTTTGTAATGCTTTACGAAAACTCATATTACCACCCATAGCATTTCGTGTTATAGCTTCAACTAATGGACCAACTTGTTGAAATTTAGCTAATTCATCAATAGCTTCTTCCACACATACTGTTGAATCAACATCAAAACAAACACAATCCGTATTTAACCATAATTGACGAATTAATTCTTCTTGTTTAGATATTTCCAATGATGATGCATTACCTGTTATACCTTTCGTCATTTTTATCGTATAAAGGTTACAAAATATAACTAAAGAAAAAAAAATGCGAACTGATGAGTGAATAATGTTATACTTGTTTTGTATTGCGTGTTATGTCTTTCTGTCGACGTTGATATAGTGACGAGAATGAACAAGAAGAAAAGAGAACACACTTGAAAAATACTATGATGCGATCACGCGTTGACGTTATGATTGTCACAATCCAGAGAGGAAGAGAAAAAAAAAGATGGCGTAGTTATTTGCATACACCAATCGTTTTTATAGCATCACATGTTAGAGAAATGGGTTATATCGAGTGAAGGAAAACAACAATATTTTGACCTTCATTTCGAGGTCACAATGTATACATGATGTAATGATTGAATATTTCACCAGGTGATTAGATAAATTTAAATTGTTTTGATATAACTAATTTATAGCAAATTCTACAAATGTAATTTTACACTAATAATCTAATTATATCTACTTCATTATCAATTATTACGTAGTCACATATTGTCTTAAGCCCCCCCCCCCCCCGTTTGAAATGGATTTCCCTGAAAATTTCTATAATACATAAACACATACAAGTAAAATTATAAAAGTTTTTTATGTTTTCAAGATTCAAAAATATACTCTCTGACTTGACATACTTGTTTTTGCTATACTTCAAAATACAGAACTGGAGATAGTTTTATTTGAAAGAAACAGATTTTGAAATTATTGCTTTATTTATTTTTGGAAAGGTCAAAACTTCAAAGAAAAGATAAAAATAATATAGTTCGTTATAACGAAATGTACTGAAAAGCAAAATATGCACAAAGATTGTTTTTGAAATAGATACGTCATTTTTTTTTCCTGCACATGATCTATCTATTATTGCCAATTAACACGAAATATTGTCATATGATATATCAACCGATAAAATTAATCAAGGTGCATCATATTGCACTCCTAGTGACGCATGCACTTAATAATATATATATATATATTTGCCCTTATTTTACTTCCATTTCTGCGTAGGCTACTTCGAGAAAATTACTATAGTAGACATGAAAAAATTTTAATAAATCTCTTGAAAACCTTTTGAAAATTGAAAGATTTTTTTTTTTTTTTGGTGAAGAGAAAGCAATCTAAGTCTATCTTTATTCGAAAACAATCATCAATTTTTATCGAGTTTTGTTTTTTTGATCTAAAACTATATCAAAATATATTCAAAACAACTTTGCTAGTAAAATTAATCTATTGATTATAAATTATAGCTAAATATTTTAAACTAGCATTCGAAATACAAAAATAAGACAAAAGATTTTACAACGTAAGATCTTCAATATTTACTCTTAATTATTTATGATTTTTTTCTGTTTATAAAATGCTTTTTTTTTTCACTATAAAAGAAACGTTGATTTTACTGCTCTTATTTTATTCACAAGGCAATAGTAATTGTGTCATTGTATATTTTATTTACGACTATTCTTATTTCTGTTTTTTTGTACATAAAAAACTAGAAACAAGATATCGTGTCATAAAAAAAACTTGTTGTTTTGTGTTCTTTATCAAAGTAAATAGAAAGCGAAAAAATGACACAAATAAGTCAACTCGTCCAATTAGACATATGTGACAACAAGTTTTTTTTTCCTAATCCCAGTAAAGTTTAAATGTTTTTGTTGTTTAGGAATAATATTTAAATATAGATGTCAGTTAATTTAAATCTGTTTGTTGATAAGGCATAAAACCAGTACATGATGAAGTTGAACAACAACATGGTTTTGAATATTTCTCGTCAATTGTTGTTCCATAACTATAAGATAATTCTTCATTAGCTTGAATTTCTCGTAAAGTAAAAAAAGCTAAATGTGGTGGTGTTGGTTGATCAATTCGTATTGGTACAATATGTAAATTTGGATTACAACTATGATTAATAAATCTTGTCCAATTTCCATAATAACGTGCATCAATAAATGTTTTTATAATTTTTTCCGATTGATATTCATTATAAAGTAATAAATAATTATGTTCATAATTTTTAGTTAATAATATTCGATTATGAGCTTCATTTTCAGATAAAATTTCACCAATATATTCACCAATATATGTACCAGGATAAAGAATAGGTTTTTTAATAATAACACCATAACCTTTATTTGATGTTGAAATTATTTCAACATTTTTTGATTGATCTTCTTTTTGACTAATACGATTTTGACAATTTTCAAATAAACAATGACATTCAGAATTACATTCAAATATTGGACCATTTTTATTTATATTTAAACAATTTAATGAATTATAATTCAAACCAAAACGATTTGAACATGAACAATTTGTACATGTATCATTCAATGTACATAAACAACCTTCATATTGTTCATCGTTTTCATTAATTGATTGAATTAAACAAGAATCAATATACTATGTAGAAATGATCTTCTTTTTCATTCATGTTTATATATTTATTTATTTTTTATTTTTAACAAAAAAAAAGAAAAGAATAAACAAAAAATCCTACCACAAAAGGTGTTCTTTCTTTTAATGCTGCTGCAATTGTTTGATCTTCAATCGTTGTTGTTGTCATTATGATTTAATTGTAAATGAAATAGCTGTTAGATCGTTTGTACGAATCAATGCTGTTGGCATATGACCAATATATGTTTTTAAATCTTGTACTAATATTTGAGAAAAATTTGAATCTATACTAAGACAACGAGCAGCAATTAATGATGATTCACGATGAAAATCAAGTTCAATAGGTGAAATAGTTTGATTAGTTTTTAAATATTCAAGAACATTTAAAAAACGTGAACGTAATTCTGTACGTTTTTCCTGTTTAGATAGAGAATTTTCAGGAGTTTGAGTAGCTAGTGCTAGACGATATACTGCAAGACCATCATCATCATGATCAATATTAGACATCTAAAATGAATGAAATTATAAGTTCTTAATCTGAAAAAGTTTAGAACATTTGTTTAGCTGAAAGAAATCTGTATTAAGATTGAAAAATCCGAAGATTCCAATAAAACTGACTTTCTAACTTCCATTCGAAGCTTTTGGGAATAGTTTTTATTTGATAGAGCAAGATGATATGTATTCGTGACCTTCTTTTATCGAGCTACATTCAATGCACAGAAGATCCCAACACATCAAACATGATAAAAACATCGAAATTTTCATTAAAAAGAAGAGGAAAAATGCTTGTTGGGCGTTCTGTAAATTGAATGTAATTCGATGAAGGAAGGTCATGGAGAAGCCTCATTTTGTTCTATCAAATAAAATCTTTTTCCAAAAGCTTTAAATAGACGTCAGAAAGCTGGTTTTGAGTATCTTGGTTTTCCGCGGATCTTCATCCAAACAGTTTTGTTGCAATCTTCGAATCTTCCATTCTTTCAGCTTTACATATGTTTTTTCTAATTGTGACTAGCTATTATTATCGAGAAAAAAAAAATTTAAAACTACAATTACTCTAAATTTTCGTACTTTATTATAAGTGAATAGAAAAATTATTCTTTTTTTATTTAAACAAAAATTTTAACAAATATATCTGAAACGAATAGCCTAATGTTCATTTAATAATAACAATAATAATAAGAGGAATATATTACTAGTCAATACACTCCTCTTATCTAGTAATAATAATTAGAGGAATACATTAGTGGTCAAAGCACTCCTCTTATTTAATAACAATAAGAGAAAATACATTCAGTAGTTCATTACATTCCATTAGTCATACGTAAACATGCCATAATATATTCATTAAAATCTAATGCACCTGATTGATTTAAATCAAAATAACGAAAAACTGCTTCAGTATTAAGTTCAAGTCCTTGCCATGTCGTATTAAGTAATGAAGCAACAAAAAGTCTTCGAAAACCATCACGATCTACTAAACCATATTGATTAGTATAATTGATAAATTCTTCTCGTAATCGCTTAATATCTTCTACAGACCAACCTGTTAAATTTGAAAGAAAACTATCATTTTCATATATTGGTTGACTTGTATTAATTGGTGATATTGATGCACCTCCATAAGTTACTTGTTGTTGCCATTGACCTAGAGCTGGATTATATCGAACTGCTTGTTGTTGAGGATAGAGATATACTACGGCTTGTTGTGGAGCAACTTGAGCAGTACGTTTTTTTCGTTTGAAGTTATTACCCATGATTAGTTTAGTGATTTAGATTGAGAAAAAAAAGATTCTCTCAACGTTTATATATCAAATCAGAATTACGATCATCGGATTACTCGTAATGTAGGCTTTTTACCATGAATCATGATATATTACCCATAGAACAGAAGAGAAATAAACCCTACCATGTAATTTATAGAAAAAACTATTCAACTGAAACATTTCGAAAATATCCATTCATACGTCATTTGTCCTACACTTTTTTCATTTGTGACGTATGCTTGCTTGACGCATTAATTTAGACATTAATTATGTGAATTATTGTTCGGTATGAATACAAATTTATTTCATCTAAGGTTAGACAATCTAAAAAAAGACAGTAATAATAATATGACGAAAAAAAATGTCTGTCTGAATAGAATATTGACAAATGGTCACATTCGATGACGAATTAAAAAAAGTCGTTTGTTTAACAAAATTACTAGTGTCATCTATTGTTGAATTTATTTTTTTGTAAAATCTATTAACCAATAAACATTGATAGTCTGAATCAGTTGGATCATATAGTTTACCACGACGAGAGTAACAAAATTAATAAACTAAAATTATTAAGATCATTTCTCTAATTTTTTTAAACAAAAAAAAATGAAATTTTCATATTTTGAACTTTTAGACAAAAAAATGACTGACAATGAAGAAGAAACACAATTACGAAAAGATTTTATTGAATCATCATCATTTGATTCATTACCAATAAAAAAATGGTTAAAAGATCAATGTCGTTTGCTTGGTTTTGAACATCCAACACCTGTACAATATACATGTATACCACGTATTCTTGAAGGTTTGTATATTATTTTCTTAATATTTATTAAAATTCTATTTTTTCTATAGGTCAAGATATTTTAGCATGTGCTAAAACTGGTTCTGGTAAAACAGCTGCTTTTGCATTACCTATTCTTGATATACTTAGTGATGATATTTATGGTATATTTGCACTTATTCTTACACCGACACGGTATATTTTCGTATTACAAAAAAAGAAAAATTTAAAATTGTTTTTTTTTTTTCATTAGAGAATTAGCGTATCAAATTGCTGATCAATTTCGTGTTTTTGGTAAACCATTAGGTTTAAAAGATTGTGTAATAACTGGTGGTATGGGTAAGTTAATGATTGTTTTCTGTTTTTTTTTTGTTGTCTTTTTTTTAATATTTTTTTCAATCAAAGATATGATGATTCAAAATTCAGCTCTAACTGAAAGTCCACATATTGTTATTGCAACACCCGGTCGACTTGCTGATCATATTGAAAGTGGTACTGAATTTTCATTGAATAAAATAAAATTCTTAGTATGAGAAAAAAAATCTCATTAGAGTTAAAATCTATTTATTTCTTTTGTTTTGATTTAGGTACTTGATGAAGCTGATCGTTTATTAGAAGATAATTTTGGTAAACAATTACAAACAATATTTTCAATATTACCTAAACAACGACAAACACTTTTATTTAGTGCAACTATAACTGATACAATTAAACAAGTACAATCAATATCAGAACGAAAACCATTTGTATTCGATGGAAATTTATTGTAAGAATATTTAATTTTTGATGAAGAAAATTAAAAAAAAATATCAAACATCTTATGTTTATATTATTAATTAGACATCAACCAGTAGAAAAACTTGAGCAATATTATTTATTAGTACCAGCTAATGTTAAAGATGCTTATCTTTTTCATCTATTATCTTTATATCATAGTAACAATGATGATGATGATAATAATAATGTTAAAAAACATAGTAATTCAACTATAATTTTTACTAGTACATGTCGTGATTGTCAAATTTTATCTATGATGTGTCGAAAATTTCATATGCCATCTGTTGAAATTCATTCACTTATGAAACAACGACAACGTTTAGCTGCATTAGCAAAATTTAAATCTCTTCAAGTTCGTATATTATTTGCTACTGATGTAGCATCAAGGTAAAAAAAGAATTCGATAATATGGATTGAATTTTTTGTATACTTTATTTTTTAGAGGTCTTGACGTTCCTAGTGTTGATCTTATTATTAATCATAATGTACCATTTGTACCAAAAGAATATGTTCATCGAGTAGGACGAACAGCTCGTGCTGGTATGTAAACATCTTTTATCAAACTCGAAAACATTTTTCTTCAAAATCAATAGTATGGGCTTGATGTTAAATGCGAGAAAAGTAAAATATCGAACAGGAAAATGTCGATAAAAAAAAAAAGGAAAACATCGAAGAGCAAAATATAAGTATGACATGTGTGAGGTGTGAGTGTGGATATTTTTGGGGTATGACTGTGGGAACAGAGAAGACATGCGCGAATATCCCCACCAGCGCTCCACAACTCTGTGTTCATCTATATTGTCCTTTTGAAACCTTCGTTTTCCGTCAATCCGAATGATATATTCTGAAATAACATGCGAAATTACATCTCAGTCGAAAAGAATGTTCTTTTGGTGAGATATTGAATTTTCAAAATACAGAATGGGCCAAAAGTCACCGGACAGTCTTTAATTTCGAATAACTTTTGATAGGATCATGATAAAAAGCAGTTGTATGCCTCATCGCCGAAACTCGCGCCGAAACAAACATTATCGAAAAGAAAGATCGCCGAAATCAACATTACCGGAATACAGATTGTCGATAAGAAGTTCATCGAAATGCAGATCGCCGAATTCATTTCGATCATTTACTAGCTTATTAGAGTTAACACTAAATCAAGTTAGTGACTAATTTAACGTGGTTCCTAACTTGATTTCTAACTTATTGTATCACTCACTTAAGTTAGTTGTTAACTGGTCGATTCGATCATTGGCATAAAAATTGCCAGTAGACATATCGCCGACAGTGACACCGCCGAAAATACAAATAGTCGATAGTCACATTGCCGAAATAGTACTTTGTCGAAATGCAGTTCGATGATGTGACTTTCGACGAAGAGCATACTGACCTTTAGAATTGAACTTCAATGTAAAGTATCAGTATTTTACCGAAGACTACGAACTAATTACTATGGTAACAAGTAGCACTGTTGAATAGTACATGGAACTATATAGTAATAGAGCCTCTTTTGAATGGTAAAAGTCGCAGCTTTTTATCTTGATCCTATCAAAAGTCATTCAAAATTAAAGACTGTCCGGTGACTTTTGGCCCCACCCTGTATATTCGTTTCCCACAGGCATGATATAAAAAAATCAAGCTTGCTTGAAAAACATTCTTTTTGACTGAAACTTTCAAGATAGGCTTATCTATGAACTATATTTCACATTGAAATTCTGTTACTTAATTTTTCAGTAAATGCCTAAAGCTGGATCGAAATTTTGATTTTACTGAAAAAATGGAGTGCTTCGAGAAAACTACAGGCAAATCGTAGTTTGTGTCCATATCCTCTTAGGGCTTTTTTTTCTAGTCTATACATCCCTGTTTGGTTTTCCGGATCTTTATTCTCGAAATGAATTTTTCAACAAAAAATTATTCTATATTTTATTGTTTAGGTCGTTGTGGTACTGCTATAACACTTGTAACACAATATGATGTTAAATTAATGCATAAAATTGAAGATCGTATAAATAAACCATTAATAGAATATCGTATAAAAGAAAAAGAAGTTCTTAAGCTTCTTGTTGAAATTTCAATGACTCGAAGTCAAGTTGAAATTCAACTTGATGAAGAAGATTTTGGTGAAGCTGAAAAAATTAATAAACGAAAACATCGTCTTCTTGAACAAGAAATTTTAAATGAAAATAAATCATTAGAAAAAAAATCGAAAAATAAACGAAAAAAAAAGAAACGATTAAATTCAAAAAAATAACAGAAAAAAAAATTTTTTTTTCTCTTGTTTTCAGATTAAAAAAGAAAAACAAAATAAAAAATTATGTTAAATAGTTATCCATTATATCATTCTCATCATAATACAACAACAAATAATTTACGTCGTAGTAGTCTTAATTCTACAATCTCTTTAACTAAATCTCGTCGAAATTCATTTTCACCTTCAACACCATTAATTTTATCTCAATCTACATTTGAAGATTTTAATGATGATTATTTTTCATTACCATCATCAACAAACAATAATAATAATAATATTACATCAAAAATTATTGAAAATAATACAAATTTTTTTTCCGAATCTAAAGATGATACAAGTCTTTCATTTCTTGATGGTCTTGATCTTGCTAATAATTTAATATCATCAACAAATGATGATAATATATTTAATGATAAAAGTCTAACAGATTTATCAACATCATCACCTATTATTTCATCATCATCTCAATCAAATATTCAATGTGTACGTATTATACGTCGAAATGATACAGCACCTATACAAACAAATACAAATACAAATCAACGTCGTGTTGTACGTGTTATTCGTTTAAGTAATGCAACACGTCCTATTGAACAAACATCATCATCATCATCGTCATCATCATCATCATCATCAAATGTATATATTGTTCGTAAAACAGATATAACACCAACTGTTCAAATAAATCCAGCAATAAAACATGTTATTGCACAAACATCAATAAATAATAATAATAATAATAATAATACAGATGAAAATAATCAATTAAATAAATTTTATGGTTCAACTATATCAATATTTGGTATTGAATTTACTGTTGTATCAAATGAAAATAATCCTACAGATAAATGTGCATCACTTGTACAAAATATGAATGATACAATAATAAAAACAAATATACAAACAACAAATAAAGTATTTTTTAAAATTAAAAAATAACAATAAAAAAAAATGTTTTGTTTTTGTATTATTTTAGATTAATGATATTCATAAATTATTTTCTCGAATATATCGTTGTGTACTTTGTTCAGCTGAATTTGATATTTATGAAGATTTTGTTTCACATGGTAGTGGACATTTACAAGATTTAACATTAAAACCACTTGAAACAGCATCTGTTTTTCGTCGACGTTCATATCGATGTCTTTTACCACATTGTAATGCAAGAATTGAAAGGTATATCGAATAAACAATCTTAGAGCTTACATAAATATGGATTTGAACAAAAATAAAATTATACTTTTTCATATATTCTAAAGCACAATGTTTCAACGGAAGTTCTATCTGATCTTATCCGAAGTACGGAATTAGCTGTGTATAAGTTAACATATATCGGATAGTTATATTTCAATACTACAGAATATTCTTCGAAAGAAAATAATAATTGAGTCCTATGACATTTGATTTTATGAACCATCTTTCTATCGCTGTTATCCAGATATGGTTATCACACAGACATTGTATCTGTATTAAAAAAATATTTATTTTCAAAATACTAGTGATTATTTCTTTTATCTAGTGAAACTGAAAGTCCTCGAATACTTGATCAATTATTTCGTCGACATCTTCTTAGTCATGTTGGTACACATCCATTTAAAGTAAAATTGAATATAAAAATTAAAATGAAAAAATTTTATTTGCTTTTGTTTTGTTTTTTTTAGTGTCATATATGTAAAAGTAAATTTCAACGAATACAAAATTATCGTGTACACTTAGCATATCATGAAGAAATGAACAGTCCTTCATTACAGGTTTATTAAATCAAATTAATTTAATTAAAAAAAAAAAAGAATTTTTTTTTTCTTCTAGTGTAAAAAATGTTTAAAAAAATTTACTGCTGATAAACAATATAATTTTCATATTCGTAAATGTTTTGTTGTACCACCACCACCAACAACAACTGCATTATTTCGTTGTCATATATGTGGTGAAAATTTTGAAAAAGATCAAAGTTTAAAATTACATATGCAACATATTCATCTATCTCGTCCACCAACTCCAACTGTAACTACTATACGGAATGATAATGAGTAAGAATAAACATATTCATTTTATAAAAGATTCTTCGAAATATAATAACAAATATTAAACTAAGAAATATCATTATTAAATTTTTCATTTAAGAGTTCGTGTACGATTAGTATCTCCATCGATTGTATCAATAAAATCGAAAACTTCGCCAATCTCATCAAATACATGTCAGATTTGTCATCAAGATTTTCCTAAACGTTTACTCTATAAAAAACATATGTTAACACATTTGGGTGATAAACATTTTGCATGTACTTATCCAGTATGTAACATAATATTTTTTATTATTTTCATATAAATAATGTTATCGAATTGATTGGTTTTGTTTTTGTTTTGCTTTCAAAAAGGCATGTAAAGATACATTTTATACTCAATCAAATCTTGATCGTCATGTACGTACTGTACATTTACGTGGAAGTCATTCATTTACATGTACATTTCCAAATTGTGGAAAAACATTTACAAGAAATGATTCATTAAAAAATCATCGAGCAAAACATTTTCCAAATATGATTATGAAATGTCCATATGTTGGTAAGGAAAATACAATCGAATTTTATATTTATTTATTCAATAAGATAAAAATAAAAATCTTTTTAAAAAGATTGTGAAGAAAAATTTCGTGTACGATCAACATATCATGCACATGTTAAACGACATCGTAGTGAAAAACAACAAGCATCAACTATTTACGTTTGTGTATTACAAAATTGTCAATATACAACTTCAAATAAAGCAAGTATGAAACAACATTTAACGAAAATACATGATTATAAACAAGAAAAAGGTAAAGATTTATTCATAAAAAAAAAAAGAGTTAATACCCAAGTTTTTCTTAATTAGATGAAGACATTCCTTACCTTCAATATCCATCCAAACAACAACAACAACAACAACAACAACAGCTTCACATTGATGAACCAACTTCAACTAATCTTGTTGAAGTATCAGCTCCACTTGTAGTTAAATTACCCGGTGATGAACCTCTTCCGCCAACATCACTTGTAGTACCTCATACTCAACCATTAGTTGCTGGTATGATTTATCTTATTTGTTTTTGCTTTTCTATCTACTAATTAATTTTTTTTCAATTCAGCTCCACCACCACCACAACCACTAAGTGATCCATTTGATTTCTTTAATATGATGATGATGCCTGATATGCCACTTGGTAATCTTGATTGGCTTAATATTGAATCAGAAGAAAATATTCGACCACGTAAACGTCAAAATATAATTACAATTAGTCGTATGTTTTTTTTTTATTCAAATTCTTAGTTTTTTTTTTTTGTTTTTACATCTTTTCTTATTTAAGGTGATATGGAAAGTTTATCAACTGTAGTTGTAGAAAATTTAAGTGGTTGTGCTCGAACAGATTATCGTAGTAATCATGCATTACTTGAACGTGCTAAATTTCGACGAAAATTATTAAATTATAAACGAGGTATTAAATAAAAAAAAAAGAATGACTTATATTTATCTCCTCGTCAGGAATATAACTTAATGTTTCAACGATTTTCATTGCCATTTTTAAATCAAGTTAGATATAATATTGTTAATGACTTATTGATCTAACAGATCAATAGAAAAACTACGTCTTTGATTTTCCAAATGCTGGCTATAGTCTCGCGGGAGACTTTACAAAAAAACCAATGACATTTGGAAGAAAACATAATGAGACGGAAAAATACCAAAACTATATCGAGAGAAGAAAACATCCTAAAGCACAAAGGAAAGGAAAGCAAAAAAGAAAGAATATATATGTCAGAGATATTCATGGAGGCGCGGCAGCGACAGATTCTCAGTTGCGATGAATACCTATGATATATGTATATTACGAAATTCTTTTGACTACTAATTTTTCGACTCTGGACTAGAGAATTGCAAAACAGTCTTGACAAGGCCAAAAATCATTTCTACCAGAACTAAGTATGTTTTTTTGGTGTATTCTGCATAATTTTATTTTAATAAAAAATAGAATTCGTGATTTAGAAATTGATTCTTTCATTCTCAAGTAGTAATTGAATTATTTTGATTTTAAATACATTACAATACAACGAGAATGTCAAACACTGAAAATTTCAAAGTATATACATGAAAATCGTAATAACTGTTCATTTTTTGTAATGCATAACGGGTGTTCCGGACGTTCTGAAGCAATTTTAAAATCCATGGTTCTCGAGTTTAACAAAAGCAAACTCTTTGAAACTTTTACCGATTATTCCACATATGTAGTACTACATAACTACAAAGTTTGAGGTCTATAGTTTTGACTATGCATGAGAAACTGTAATATCACTGTCATATACTATTTTTAAAAATTACCTGCAGCTTTTGCCTCAAATATTTTTCAAAAAAAATTACATATTCGGAATCAGCATTAAATTCTGCACATGTTAGTGTATAATTCAAAAGAATTAAAAAAAACAAATTTCAGTGATTTTGGGGTCTCCTACAAGTCCAAAAAGACGTAAAAAAATGAGGGTCGTCTTTCGACAAAAAAAAGATATTATTTTTTACTCTGTTTTACGCAGAATTTAATGCTGATTTCGAATACGTAATTCTTTTTCAAAAATGTTAAGTCAAAAAAATGGTCTTATCGATACTTGTCCTTTTAATTGCAGGCAATTTTTAAAAATAGCATATGACAGTGATATTACAGTTTCTCATGCATAGTCAAAACTATAGACCTCAAACTTTGTAGTTATGTAGTACTACATATGTGGAATAATTGGTGAAAGTTTCAAAGAGTTTGCTTTTGTTAAACTCGAGAACCATGGATTTTAAAATTGCTTCGAAACTTTCGGAACACCCTTTATGGTCCTTACGTAAGGAACTGCAAAACAGTCCCAGCTCCGGCTGAACTAAAAATTCCAACCGCGACTGGCACTAAAAACAGATAGTTCCGCTATTGCCTAACCCGGTCGGATCGTACTTTGATATTGTTAATGAAATTTTCTAATCGGAATCTGATAGCCACCCCGAAGCAGAGATGTCCATGTTGATACTATCGCTGTGGCGGTGGCGTCGCGTTCGGTGCAGCTTTATTAGAAAGAAATTTTATAGAATACATGAATTCTCACAGAATCCCGACATTCATATATGTGATACTGCAAGACTTAGCAAATCTGGTCGATTAGCAGTAGCAGTTCTAGTTCAAACCAACAATGGCTTTGAAAATCGAAACATTTTTTTGAATACCATCGCGGTAGCGGCACATTCTCAGCCGCGATAGACATCGATGCCCTGAAGGTGTGCAATTCTTTTTTCTCTGCGATGACTAGTTTACCCGACACATGTCTCAGAAGACTAGAGTTCATCAGATCTGGATCCGAGTTCGAAATCAATTCAACAGACTCTATTGATGATGTCATCATTAGTCAATGTAGACAATCGTTCTTCTATCTTTACAGGAAAATGTTTTTATCGAAAAAATAAAATTGACTACTGATACAAATACTATTCATTTAATGAGTAAAGAAATTTTTGAATGAGCAAACTGAATTAGTTACTGATGCGTGATATTAATGCATTTAGTTTATTCTGATAAAGAGTAATCAATTGGTTTTTTTTGTTTGTTGTCGAATAGAACTTTTACGAGTTGATTCACAACCAGTTCCAAACGTAACAAGACGTTTATCATGTCAACTATCTGATGATAATGATAATGGTATTGAAGATGAAGAGGATGATATCCTTGAAACAACAATATGGGAAACAAGTCCAAAACGAATAAAACGATGGGTTGATGTTAATGAAAATTAGAATAAATATATTTTAAGTAAATTGAGGAAAAAAATACAAGAATTTTCCTTCAATTATTTATTTTTTTTAGGCTATCAAAGTATGTGTGCGTGTGCGTGCGTGCGTGCGTGCGTGCGTGTTTTTTTTTTTTTGTATATGTAATCTTGATCATGTTCTTTGTCTTTCGCACATTTTCTTTTTCTATATGTTGTTACACTTATCTTGTTTTTTCTTTTTTTGTTGTTGGTGTTATTCTGATTATTTAGTTTTAAGTGTGTATATGAGTGAACTTGTTCTGTTTGACTCGTTTTTCGTTGTGCTAGAACTTCTTCACACATAAACTTCCTTCTTCTACTAATGTTTTATACAATAAAAAAAAAAAAATAACAGAAAAGAACGTGTAAAAATCTGCGTAACTATTTAAGTGTACTGCTTGTATTCGTAACACATTCTGTCGAAGAAAAACATACGAACAAGACGAAAGAGAATTATATAAAAAAAAAGTGAGTATAACAGAGGTCATGTTCAGTAATGGTAAACAATCTAAGTGTAAAAATAATTTATTTTATGATCTTCTCTATCTTGTTTATTTTTAATTTCAGATAAGAGTTATTTCAACAGCCACATTTAATGGCAGATATGTCGAAACGCTCAGACGATCATCGTATCGAATCGAATCCACTCGTTATTGAAGATTCATTTGAAGGTTATCCATTAAATTATTTTAAGTAATTATCTTTATTATAATTCAATAAAAAAACACAAATTTGATTTGTTATTTATATATTTTTTTTTCTGTTAAGTTTGCCATTACATTATCGCGATGATTTAAAATCTGTTCTTATCCCGTATGGACTTGTTCAAGATCGTATTGAAGCATTAGCAAGTCGAATTTTTTCTGATTTACATATTCATATACCAGAACAACTTAGTAATAATTAAAAAAAAAAATAATAATCGTAACAAATAAATTTTATTATATTCAGTTTGTATGTGTGTACTCAAAGGTGGTTATCGATTCTTTTCGGATCTTGTATCGAAAATTCAGAATGAAAATCGGTTTGTTTCGTAATTTTATTTTCATATGTATTTTCTTTGTTTTTCAAGTCTTCGAAATGATCGTAGTTTACCAATGAGTTTGGAATTTATTCGTGTACGAAGTTATGTTAATGATCATTCATCTGATCAACTTGAAATAATGGGCTTAAGTGATCTAAATGTATTAAATAATAAACATATACTTATTATTGAAGATATTATTGATACAGGTGTTACAATGGCTGCATTAAAAACGGAACTTGAAAAATTTCAACCAAAAACAGTACACGTTGTTTCATTATTTACAAAAAGACGTAAAGATAAAAAATGTATATTTAAACCAGATTATTCAGGTTTTGAAGTACCTGATCATTTTATTGTTGGTTATGCACTTGTAAGATATTTGTTGTTTTTTTTTGACTTTCGAATAATTTAATAAAAAAAAAATTTTTTTCTTTTGTTTTAGGATTATAATGAATATTTTCGGGATTTAGAACATATATGTGTTATGAAAGAATCAGGTATTGCCAAGTATCGAGTTACAGGTGATGATCATGTTGAATAAATTAAACAACCAACCAATCAATCAACTTTATTAAACATAGTTCTTATATGAGTGTGCTTTATTATTTTTGTCGGCTTCATAACTCATATCCTTGATGCTCTTTACCATGATGTTAGTTCACATTTAAAAAAAAAGAAAGAAAATATATCAATGAAATATGAATCATCATTGTCTAATTTGTTAGAAAATTGATACTATGATTTCAATAAGTATTGAATTGGAATATGAAACAAAATGTACTGATAAAATGAAATTTCTTCAAAAGTATGTGAATAGATGAATGCACTTTCAATCAATGATATCACATAATGGATATGAGATGGAATGTATCAAGAGATAAGCTAAAGTTTTAAGTCATATTAATCAAATATACAAAGTATTTATTCTCAAATATGCATACTTTTTAATTGTCAATACCATGGGTTGCACTTTGTGCTCGTGACAAAACCACTTATTTCTTTTTTTTTTTTATCAACAAGTTATTACATTATCAGATAGTCTATTTTTCGTCGAAATGCATATCGACGAGAGACGAAAAAAAAAAGTGAGATATAAACTAGATTTTACTCTTTCCCCTCGTCTTGCTTTGGTTTTTTTTATTACTTTCTATGTTATCAATGTGAAAAAATACATATGGAAAGCAAGGACATTTATTCTTATTGTTCGACACAAAAAATAAATACAAGCCGATGTCAAAGAAAAATACTGTGGAAAAATTTCGCTGCTAAGTTGAGTTTTGTTTTCAACGAAAATTTATGATTTTTGTTTTCTTCTTTAATAATATTTAATAAATATTTCGTCAGTTCTTTTCAATTGTTGAAAAGAAAAAAAAATTTAGTAAAACAACATAAATGATTCAGTCATAATTTTTAAAATAGTATCAATAGTGTTTTAGTGCTAATATTAATCCTATACCATTACAAATGACTATTTGTCGCACCATAGAAAACTGACAAAATTTAAAAGAAAAACAGTATGAAACAATTGTAACACATCGTCATTAACACAATTAATGTAACTATTATGTCGAGACATAAAAAAAGCTGTATTACACAATGCATGTAAAATACGCAATAAAAGTTTGCCGACGGCATTACATTTTTTCTAAATCGATGATGGTTCAATCAGTAATTTAACTATGTTTTTCGAGAATAAATTCAGATGTGGTCTCTGTAGTGTTTGTGCGAAAGTTTTGAAAGATATATATTATTTAATGTTCGTATCACTGTTAGAAGGTTCTTCCAGACCCAAGTCTGGGTTAGGCTCAAGCCTTCATTCAGATTAAACTTTAGACGCGGTCTGCAATCAACTTTGAATCTGAATACAACAAATCTATAGTTAACCTATAATATTCCCCTTTCCACTTTTTTCAAGTTTGATGTTATTTACACAAATACGGCCAAAACTGTGCCATACACAGTTAAAGATTTTAGTGTTAAGACTATCTCCCTCGAAAATCGATCTCAGAACAGAAACATTCAAATTACACGAAATTTTTCGAATATGTTGGGACCGGTGTGAGAAGGCTATAATAAAATTTTCAGTCCTATATCATGATGCTTGACAGAGATATTCACCAAACACGAATCAAAAATAGCTCGATCGTATCTCCAAGAATTCTCCGTGGACCTTCATTCTATCCATTAAAATTTGTTTTTTGTTTGAAAGCTTGTGGTCAAGGCTAGCCCCTCTCGTGGCCCTTCTAAAAAAAACTCCTAGAAAAATGGCGCTGTTTTTATAGAAGTGTTTTCTTGTATGATAATAAAAAGGCTTATTTTAAAAAAAGAACCACGAGGGTTGGGAGCTAGCCTTACACACGAGTTTTCAAACAAACAAAAATTTAAATGTATAGAATGAAGTTCCTTCAAGAAATCCTGAAGATACGATCGAAAACCTATAAAACTGGAAACATTTTTGTCATTTATGAAAGATCAAATCACGAGCTATCTTCCTATGCATTTATCTTAATTTCAACCATTCTGATGAAAAGTCACTTTTTTTTAAGAGGAAGCCTTAAGTTGAATTTTTACTCTCTAATCACAGTTATACATATGATATTGCTTAAAGAATGAGAAGCAATTCTGAGAGAAAGAAAAGTTCATTATTTATTCTATATATAACATCTCATATTATAAGTGTCTAAATTAAATAATCATAATAATGTACATGAAATAGATATTCAATTAGTTAAATAGAAAATTTGTTTTACTTTATTATTGATTAATGCATCAGTCAAATTTTTGTGCATTTCCATCAAAGATTTTATTATCATTATCATAGATATTTGTCAATATCTATATTGTAATAGTAATGTGATAAATCATTACAAGACTAATTTTTATTGTATTATCGAGTACATTAATCAGATATTGTACTTCAATAATGTCAATTTTATTTCATCAAAGATTCAGTATTATGAAATGTTTGTATTCCATAACACAGAGATGATCTTATATCTAAGAAAATCGAGAACTCACCTCTCAATATATTATACAGATATGTCATAAAATATTAGCATATTTGTCTTGTTGTGTTATTCTGTACTTCTTCATATTTGATTATTCTTCTTCTTAAAATTCAGATTTACAACTACGTGAATTGAATGATAATGATAACGATTTTATCTTATTGTATAGTTAGTTTTGAGACTGTCTGTATAATAACTAGAAAAATTTGTTTCATTGTGCTTTGTCAAATATTGCCCTTTGTGTTTGCACATATTTCTGTGTTTACAACTCTAGTCATTAATTATCTATACAAAATTTCAAAGAATATTCACTAACAAGTAGAAGATATTATCGTATGAAATATATCAATCTGATATTATGTAAAAGTACAGTATACCTGATATTGATGGTATATATCAATGATAATGTTAAGTCTTAAGTAGACGTGGCGGAATGATAAAAAACATTGTTAACTCATCAATATTATTAAGAATGTGGTAGACAAGTTCGATGGATAAATGTGATGAGAAACTTCGTAACCTCGACAAACATTCCTATTGTTCTTTTTTCAAAAAATATGTCTTATTATTATCTGTATGCACTGAAATATAGATTTTTTTCTGATGAATTTTAAATAGTCGTTAGCTTTTCATTTCACGTTTTGAATTTAGAAAGATATTAATTGACTTGGTTCTTTAGATGATAATATCTATATAAAATGTGATCGATTTTATTAGACGTATTCTTTGTGTCTGAACTTTGATTAATCAGATTTTATAAACAGATATGTATTAAATGATAATCCAAAATCTTTTCTGCTTTGTAAATTTAATTATGATTATTTCCTCTGAGTTATTTTTGTTCCCAATTTTGTTTGTAACTGTCTTAAACTTGTTGACAATAACACATGAAGAAAATTTCATAGAGTTGTGGGGTATCTTGTTTATAGAAGGAATTATAAAAAAATGTGGTGACTAGGTTGGAAAGGTACGATTTCGTACAATCATCCATAAGTTATTATTTTTGTTTTTTATGTTTTTGAATTCTATAATGACTATTCAACCTTCTTTAGAAAAAAGAAAGCATTTGTCTTTCATCTTCAACATCTAGGAGAATTCAATTAAACTTTTTGGCTTTTTGTTTTATTTTTATCACCAAAACAGAGAAAAAGAAAAAATAACAAAAACCAATCAGTAGTACCATCAATAATGTCAACATTCTTCTACTTTAAATTATGCACAGTGCAGGCAATCGTTAAAAAACAGATATGAAAATTTTATTCATAATTGTATGCAATTTGTTTTAATTGTTAAACTCCCACAGTATAAAGGCTAAATTCAGACCTTGAATATGTTCAGAAAATGAACACATTGTATTACTTCATATCGTTTAATTGACTCATTTAAATCTCATACATGACAATTTCTATTGTGTAATCATAATCACACAACGGATGAATTATGTTTGAGTTTCATTTAGACAGCGACCTCTATCTAATTTTGTTACTAAGCAGCCTTATTAAAACTAAACCGATGAATGAAATTTCACATTTACAAATTTTCTTCACTCAAGTATACTTATTAATATATTTAAGATGACCTATCGAGATATTAGCCGTAAGTTGCTTTATCTCTTTTTAAATCCATAAAATAATTTTTTTTATTGTAATTGAATTAAGATCTATGTGAGATGGCTCGAGTACTCTCGTATCCACGTTTAATTTCAATGGAAAATTTTCGTCAACCCAATTTTCGTCTTGTTGCCGAAATAATGACTTGGCTTGCTAAACAGTATAATTTATATATCTTTTTCTGATTGATTATTTTTGTTTTTGTAATTAGATATGATTCATTAGCTGATGTTCCAAGCGATATTGAAGGTGAACAGGATCGTGTTGCATTTATTCGTGCTATTACTCAAATAATTGTAATAAAAATTGCAAAATATTTCATATATATGTATATATCTTATTGATTTTCGTTTTTTGTTTTATATTTCAGGCTACTAAAGCACATTTAAAATTAAATACTAAAAAACTTTATCAAGCTGATGGTTATGCTGTAAAAGAAATTCTTAAAGTTATAACACCACTTTATAAAGCACTACGTGATAGTGAAAATAAAGAATTAGATGAAGAAGATGATATCGATAATCAATATCGTTATGCTATGAATGATGATGTAAGACTTTAAATCAAAAAAGAAAAATAATAAATTTCTTTTTCTTTTTTTTTTTTGAAATTCATAATTTTTAGATTAGTACACTTAAAAATGCTCGTCAACTTTGTTCAACTATAACACAAAAAGGTGCTAATTTACATGAATTATTAGGAAAAGAACTTGATGCACGAGTAAGAAAATGAATTGGCTCTTGTTTTTGTTGATCAATTGCATTAATTTCATTAGGAAGCACGTCAAGAAGTTATGAATCGAGCTATGGAGCTATCCGAAGTTCAAGAAGGTGTACGTGAAGCTGGAAATGCCGCTAAAGTATGAAAAGAAAAATCTTTCGAAAAAGAATCTTCTGTTTTTTACAGCGTGAATTAGCAAAACATCAAAAATTAATTGATAATGTTCAAACAGATGAAGTAGCACTTGACGAAAAAATCGCTAAACGTTTAGAAGAAAAAGATCGTCATCAACGACGACTTGACATGTTAAAGAGTGTTAGGTAAATAACAAAAAAAAATAAAATGAAGGCCATAGTTTAGAAACACAGTATTTTTCACTTTTTCCCTTGACAGTAACAGCTAGAACAAATTGATTAGCGAGAAGTATTTCCTATCAGAAGGCGTACTTGTCGAATTCTTAATATCCATGGCGGCTAGAAATATGCCACGACGTGGTCCTAGGAGAGACAAAGCTCAGCGTCACTGCCGTGATGCGGTCCTAGAAGGGACAAGGCTACCGCGACGCGATGAACTATATAAAAAGTGGTCACTGCCACGATGGTTTACGAAAAACTCCATGAAAATCTCTTCCGCCATTGCGCCAAATTAGCACAGTTGAATTAAATCCATCGGACTCAATCTCGATTCTGGCTGTTGGACTTGTAGATACTCAGGTTAGGTGCAAATTCACCCAATTTTGCAATCCCAATAAAAAAAAAGCTGCCGCTACCGCGGCACCATGGACATCTATGATGGAGATTCGACAAGTACTTCCTCTACTAGGAAATTGTTTCAGTTAATATAAAATCTTTTCTCTGATTTGTTTTAGCTGAAACTATTTGAAAAAAAAGGCGAAAATCACTGTGTTTCTAAACTTTTTGCTTTTATGTTATTTTTGTTGTAATTTGTTAATTGATTTTCTTTTATTAGACCATCATTTATGAATGATTTTGAAAAATTTGAAAATGAACTTGATGAACTTTATTCAAATTATGTATTAAAATTTCGTATATTATCTTATTTGGAAAAGGAACTTGAAGGACATTTTCGAAGTCAACGTGAAAAAGTTCAAGTAATTGATCTTTTAGTTTTTTTTAAATTTAATCTTATTAAAAAAAAAAAAACTTTTAAATTTTTAGGAAGTATCGCGTCAATATATGCAATCAATGAATTCACAATTAACTGAACAAGATCAACAAAGATTTAATCGACAATTACAAGATCAAAATGACGAAATTGGTGTACATAGTGATGAAGAAGAGGATGAAGAAGGATCAGATGAAGAGGAGTAAGACTTATTTAATTAAAAATAATCATTTATCTATTCGTTTTTTGTTTTGCTCAGTGATGATGAAACAGAAGAGGATGAAACTATGGATCGAGCACTACCACCTCGTCAATCAACTCGAGGAAATAGGCCAGGTATTTATTTATTATGTTACTATCCAATATCCATGTTAATTTTTTTTATTTTGTAGAAAATGGTACAAGAGACAAACCATATGGAGGTATGACAGATGAACTGAGTGATGACGATGATCAGGTACAAATGGGCAGAAGAGATGCTGATATGGACAATGAATTAGATGGTGATATGGATCCTAGAAGAAGAGCTGGAGGAAATATTAAAGGTCGAAGACCACCTAGTGCTAGTGGCCAACGACGACCAAGACAGCAACCACAACAACGAGAACCATATGAGGATGATGAAAATTTTTAATTATGTTTTTCTGTAGTAGACTTTCATTATCTCTACTCTCATCCTTAGATAAAAGAAAAACGGAAATTCTTTTAAATGTTTTGTTGTCAATAACTGTTCATATTTAATTCTTCTTAATAAAAGACTTGAAAGTTTCAACGGAGAAATATATATTCTACTATTAATGACATCAAAATACGTTCAATATAATGTACAAAATGGCTAGTTGTTGTAAAATATTCGAAACATCGGTTTTTTTTTGGTTGCTATCAGATTTATTTTGTTTTGAAATACAATCGTACATAATAGAGGAGTTACCATCGTTTCCGTTTGACTAATGTCGACAAGGTAATACTGTTATTATTCTGTTCTTTCTTATAGTTAAAATTTCTTTTTTTTTTTGTTCTTCTTCTTATTTTATTCAGTGAATAATGGCTCGTCGACTTGTATCAGAAGATTCTGATGAAGAAGAATTTCAAGAAACTCAATATGGTAAACTTCAAAATAGTTATCGACATGCTCGTGAAGATCAACGTGAATATACAATTGAAAAAAAAGATCAATTACGAATGCAAAGGTAAAACAAAAAAATATATATATATATGTATATCTATGAATTTTTATTTAATTAGTAAAACTTTACAACAATTAACAAGAGAACGTGAAGAATTAGAAAAAGTTTTTCTTTTGGCTGAAAGTCTTGAAAATCAAAAACGTGATGAAGAAAAAACAAGAAAATTACAAGAACTTATTCAAACGAAAGGTATGATTTATTTGATGTCATTAATTTTCGCATAAGTTTAATTTATTTTACTTAGATGAAATACAAAGTGAAATACAAAATGAAAAATCTTTATCAAGTGAATTAGATATAAAATTACGTGAATGGGAAAAGAAAATTCGTCAAAAACAAACAGAAATTGGTGGTGCAAATGCTGCAGTTACATTTAATGCAAATGTTCGTAAACAAGAACGTGTTTTAGAAAATCGATTAGATACAGTATGTTATTTATTTTGAATAGAAATGTTCAATAGAAAAAATTTTTTTTTTCTTCTCTTTTCAAGGCTCTTAAACGATTTAATTCATTACTTACTTCGAATAGTTTATTACGTGCTGAAATTGATAATTTACGAAATGAACGAGAACGTTTCGAAAATTTATCTCGAAAATCTGAAAATGAACTTCGAGAGTTACGAACTCAATTAGTCGATTGTATTGAACGTTCTGTTACCTCCTATGAACAACGGTAATGATAAAATCTTCATTATATATTGATTAAATTCTTCGTAAGAGAACCAAACTAAGAATGTCAGAGTCCTCGTTTCTGGATATTTCGCTCTCAAGAAATGAGAACGTATCCCAAATTATGTTTTCTAGCATTTTTTTTTGTGAAACATGATCTAAAAGTATAGACGTCAAAATTTAGATCCGTTCCCAGACATTATTGATATATGAACAAAGATTATATCAATAATGCCTTATTCAAATATGTGAATTATATCCTGTGATTAGCAAGAGTAACTACATCGTGTTTCATATTTTAATCTCGTAGGGATTGCGCTAACAGATTCTATATGTGCCAAAGTGTTCATAGGAATGGAACATGAAACTGACACTCCTAAATCAAACTTTTCTATAAAGTAGAGATATGTATTCTACCTCTGTTGAGAGAAATATATCTTTCTAGTCTAACTTTCAAAGTGTTATTAAAATTTATCAGAAGAGTTTTATTTTTACACACTTGATAATTTCTTTTTGAAAATTTTAGTAAAGATGCTAATGCTAAGGCCATTCTCCTTCAAAGTAAGTATCAAAAAAAAATTTTTGAAATTTAGTTCTTTTTTCTAATATATCGCATTCTATGCTTGTTCTTTTAGCTAAAGCTGAAACAGACAAAGCAGCATCTGAAGCAGAAATGAGAGAACTTGAACGACAAATTTCACATGATCGTAAATTACGTGATTTTATGAAACTTAAATCACAAGAACGACAAGAAGATGAAGAACTTGTTACATATAGAAAACGAAAAGGTTGATTTTTTTTATAGTTTTCATTTTTGAGCAAAAAATAATTTATGATGTGTTTCTTTTATTTTTACAGAAGCTGATGCTGCTGAAAAACGTCGTAAAGAAAAGGAAGAACATTCAGTTGAAGCATATGAAAGTAAATTTAAACGTATTCAAGAAATTAGTGGTGAACAAGATTTAGATAAACTTGTTGACAAATTTATTGAAGGTCTGAGATTTATTTTTGTTTTTACTTACAAATTTTTTTGACAATAAAAAATAATATCTCATTTGTTTTTTTTAGTCGAAGATAAAAATTTTGCTTTATTTAATTATGTTAATGAATTAAATAATCAAATTGAAATATTACAAGAACAAATTACTGACATTAAAAAAGAAATTCATCGTTTTGAAGGACAAGGTGTTGAATTAGAAGAACAACGACAACGATTACTTGAACAAATTGAAGAGAAACGTTCAAGAGCAAATGCATTAGCTGATGAATATGAAGAAAAAACTCGAGCAGCACGAAAAATTCTTGATCAATGTCGAGCTGGTTGGTCTTGTTTTTTTAACTTCCATTCATTATATGACTTAAACAAATATCTTTCTATAAAAAGCAGAATTTTTCTCAACGAAAAATAACGAGAACATTGATTTATATTTAACCTGAGATTTTATAGAATGATGAGATTTGTTTAAAAAACCATCTTAGTCCTCGACAGCCGAGAGTATTTTTTTTAACGATTAGGAAAAAATAGATCGCTAAAATGGAGATTCTGGACACTCATGAACGGACCACTCGAGGTGATACTTCGCATTTGGTATGAAACTCCAGTCATTACATAGAACCTGTTGAGACTATAAGAAGCTTGGAAGGGTTCTTTCCCATGCGCTGCCCTTTTGGTGGAATATTATTGGTTTTTTTTTGTGGATTTGATATCTTGAGAAGAGACGGCTCTTCTTGGCTGAAATTTTTAGGAGATTATAATGACTTCAAGAGCTTTCTATAAACAAAATTTTAGGCCAAAATTCATTTGTCCAATATTTTTTAAAATAAATACTGTGCTGAAAGTAAAAAGTCCAGTGTAACGGTGATAACTTCAAAAGAGCAGCGCATGAAAAAAATCCTTCTAGGTTTCTTCTAGTCTCAAACGACTGGCAACGTCATCTCAAATGCGAGAGATCATCTCAGGTGATTCTCTCATAAGAACCAATTGAATGAAATGTTTGTAATTTTTCAACATCTCTGCACTTTCCATTCCATTATGACACTACGATTGTAACCCTCTTCGCCGAAAAGCATTTCGCTCAAAGACTCATAGGACGCTTTAGACTTTTGCGAGCCCTTTAATTCTTATATGGGCTTGTTCAGCATGAAGAGGTCAACTCATTTTGCCCTCACCTTCACCTTTGGGACGCCCTCCGTGACCAAAAAGTACTTTCGGCGAAGAGCATATATACCAAAATTTTAAGATCATAATTATATCGAACATTTCGAATTAATATTAATTCTAATAATTTCATTATTAAAATAGGTATTGATTCTTTGTTCAAAAAAACTGGTTGTGATCGTCGACAAATTGAGAATTTATTACAAAGTCATGAAGGTGTAACGGAAGATAATATGTTACGATATTTGGGTATTATTGAAGAGAGAACAAATGAATTACTTACTGCTCAAGCAACAATTAATGCTAAAGTAAACGATTTATTTTCATATTTAATTTAATTTTGTTTTTTTTCAATTAGGAACAAAATATTCCATTACGTGAACGTGCACCTAATCTAATTGGTGATGGTCCAACTGGACCAGCACCTCATGTTCAAGTTCATCTACCAAATGCGTAAGATATTTCTAAACGATAGGACAATTCTTTTAATTTTTTTTGAATAGTGATGATCGTCGTGATTTTGATGAAAAAGAAGATAGAGGAGAAGAAGAACTTAAACCATTAACACGTGAAGAATTAAAACAACGTGCACTTGAACAAGTTAAAAATTTAGAACGAAAAGCTTTACAAGAACAAAGTAAATATGCTGATTTAGCACCAACAACAACACGTGAAAAAAGTTCAACAAGTATATCAAGAACAGGTGGTGGAGAAACTGGAAAACCACCAACATCTCGAGGACGTTAAAAAATAATCACAATAAAAAAAAAAACCAAATATTCAATGAACTTTTTCTCTTTATCTTCTAATATAATAATCGGCACCTATTTTAAAAAATTTTATTGTTTAATTCTTTTAAGTCATGTTTGATGAACTTTAAAAAAAAAGAAATTTTTTTTTTTTTGGAATTGTAATGAATTATAAAACACTTTTAAAGAAAAAATATAGATTACGCAAATTTTAAAAAAATCAAAAACATTGAACATTACGAATTTATTAGAACTTTTATTTAAAATAGAAAATTATGATTTACAATATGAAAATTAAGTTGCTGCTAAGTAAACAAAGAAATCTTTTTCATTGCAATTAATATCAACTGGTGAAGATTAGAAGATGTTTCTTAGATTGTTTCCACTGTCGATACAATTTCTTTAGAAATGGTATGCTCAGATCAAACAACTTCATTCACGTAAAAGGATCTGTTACTTCTTGGATGACTCTATTTTTGATATTTATTTGGTATGTTTTTTAGTGCTTCATAGATTAACCCTTCGACCCAGGAGAAGTAAACCTAAATTGAGTCAGTTAGTTCATACTATAGCTGTTTTATATGTATAATGTAGAGAGTTATTAACAATTGCTATTGGTTGTCTATATTATTGCAAAGAAATTTTTAATTGTTCTCTATTATCAAGGACTCTCATTGAAGTTACAGAAAATTATAATTGCATGCTACAGTCGAATGATGAGCTTATAGCACATGTGCACAGGGACATAATTATTTTTAATGAATAGAAATAAGTTTTTTCAAAAGAAAAAAATTTTTTTTTGTTTGATTGTTTCTAATTTCATCAAAGTTCTATTTAGCTATGCAACATTTTTCAGTAATCGAAAATATTAATATCTTAAGATTTGTTGAAAAGATTAGAATTTTTCAAGCATTCTTTTGATTATGTTTATAATTATTGAAAAATGTAAAGTAACATTTAATCATTGAAAATATGTTGATAATTTTGAAGTAGAATCTTCTTGAATACTAATTATTATTAGTACAATGTTACCTTGAACAGTTCGGTGAGAAATAAATAATAATAATATCTTATGCAAATCAAAATATAACATTTTTAGGTTTAATTTATCAGTGTATATGAATTATCGCCAATCAAAAAAACACTGCATTTAGACAACCTATGAAGTTTTTCGTAAACAAAATTTTTCCTACATTGATGGACATTCATCTGATGTTTAAGAAACGCACTTCGATGAGAAAAAATCAAATGACTATTATTGTGCACGAATTGTAATTATAATAGATACAGAATATTATGTTTCAAGAACTAATATAGTTTATTTTGCTTGGATCAACAATTGTCATAGAAGAACTTTCTAACTATAGATAGTTACACCGTTCAACAATCGACGTAAACAGTTGATAGCCAGAAGAAAAATTTGTTTGTTATTTGTACTTCAATATCCTCTAAGATGTTATACATGAAAAGCTTAAATATCATTTCATCTGATCGTCTATTGAGCGCGTATAACAATTATTTGAATGCTTTTTCATTCGATATAATTCAATATTGTTCTACAAATTTTCACCATTTACAATTAGAGTGAAGTTTTGTCTTTGAAGCAAACTTTTTCAATCTCATATAAAACTTGTACAAATGAATCAATTATAGAAAAAACACAATAAGCCAAATATTTTTTTCTTTTAATCATATTTAATAGTGATACGGAAAAGAGTCTAACATATCTAGTCATTAGTATTACCGGCTTATTTTCCACATCATTATTAAATTTGACTAAAAAAGAAATAAATCTATTACCTATTCTGTTTTTTTTAATAATCAGCTCATTTTTACAATTCCTATGTAAGATTGAAAAAGTCTTATCAGTTGATGAATATATTAGTTCTATTTAAAAATAATATCAGATACTCTAAGGTGTCTTCAAATTATGAATGATCATCCACTATTCAAAGAAACACAGAGAGATAAGGAAGAGGAGACAAAGATCATTCATTCTACCATATCTTTTGTGATGAATGTCTATCATAATCATGTAAAAAAAATATAATAATGAAAACTGGAATAGAAAATATCCATTGTCGACATCTTCAGAGTGTGAGTGTAAACTTCGGTAAAGACAAGAAAATCTCCCACACCCAACAGCTACTCATTTTGATATGAACAATAATGCTCAATCTATTTGAGGGTCCATCAATTCTACATTGTTGTGATTATCGATGTAGAGAGACGGTATTAAACCACAAACATCATCTCAATTAAAGATTACATTAGAATTAATACATAAAAAAATTCCTGCATTTTTTCTACTTTTCAAACAAAATCCATCTTTGATAAAATCGTAATCGGACGCTAGAAATTGACGATTGTTTTATTCCTCTCCTTATTAACGAAGATTACTAATTACGCATTCACCTATATGCTTTCACTTCTATGCATATTTTAAATTACTGATTCTGCTTACTTCGTGTCTTCATTTTATTTTTCATTCAATAGATAACTTATAATCTGTCGATATATATGTGTGGTGAATTCCATCATCCAACACTGGTCTTAATGAAGGATTGCTTATTCGCTTTCCTTGTGCTGTTTTATGATCAACTGACCCTTTCTTCTATAGAAGTTTGTTGACCTAAGCATGTAATGCATTGTTGATTGAATGAACTAAACCCCCTCCCATAATAGAAGCCCCTCCCATATTAAAAGCCCCTCCCTTATTAGAAGCCCCCTCCGAAGGACCGACATGAAAGATGTATTAGAAGCCCCCCCTTATTTTACAAACTTTTTGAAAAATTTGATTAGTATTTTCATCGCAAAACCGTCAATATTCAAGATCTTAAGGTAAGAATTTGTTTCATTTCCTTATGTACTAGCGTAAAAATCTCGAAATCTCCTTGGAAATCGTTTGAAAAACTCTAGAAAACCTTAAAAATCCCTGAAATTCTGTGAAATTCTTTTTACATCTAAAACTATTGAAAAAATTTGGGACTTAATAGAAGCCCCCTCCGAAAATTTTGGATGGTGGGCAGTTTAGAAGCTCCCGGGGGCTTCTATTATGGGAGGAGGTTTAATCTATATTACAATTTTTTTTTATACTTTGTTAGACTATAGGTAAGGTAAATCTTTGTTGAAGTGATGAATTTTATCGTTTCTAGCGTTGTACATTGTAACTAACACTTGCAAGCATCATTTTTATAATATTTTCTGTCTATAATGCTATATATGTTTTTCTATTACGATTTTGATTGAAATACTTAGATGGCAGTATCGTGAAAGAATGGCAAAATATCAAATATTTGCCTTCAGTTTAATAATAAATGTTTGACTATAGCTCGATTGTGCAATGGCTTAAATCTATGGTATTAGATAGATGTGTTTGCTATCTATTTTCTTCTCTGCCAGTTCAATTATATTTTTTTCAGATGGATTTCATTTATTGTACAACAAGGACTGTTATGTTTATGGACATCGCTTCTCGTATTTATAGTTTACACTATGGCTTTTCGCTACTTCTCAGTTTATATCAAAGGAATTAGCATTTATACTTCGCATCTCCTCGTTAGCACAAAACCCGATTTGTTTCCTTATAACTGATTTGTGGTGTTTATAATTAAGTCTGCATTAAACTCAGCGTTCTATTTCGTACAATAGAGAAAAATGTTTTTTGCTAAATTTGATATTTCAACCAATTCGAAAGTTTTATAATCTCATGAACGAGGAGGTCAGTTGGAATTTCGGAGTGAATGTATAAAATGAACTAATCTTGAAACTGAATATAAATTATAACAACATAATCAAGTAACAATAGAAAAATATCGTAGGCGTTATGTTTCGTTTTCTACAACAAATTAATGTTGATAGTTTCGTTAGGTTTTTCTTAAGACTACTATGAGAACATGGATATAAAATATACTTTTTGTATTTTATGTTCGAATTAACTCTTTCGCAATGGAGTTTTTTTTTTGAAAAAAGAATTAGGAAACAACGAGAAGAAACTAGTTTTTTAAAAATTCTTGAATAAATGTTATTTTAATGTAGAAGCATATAGAAATGTTTTAGCGTATGATACTCTTCAAAACATCCCACAACACACAAGGTGTAGATATAGGTGTGCAGGTGGGTATGGATGTGGTAGAAGATACGAGTCTCACTCAGAACCCACACCCATGTCCACAGCCACAGCCACATGGACATCATCCACACCCTATTATAGTCCATTATATAGATATTTTTCTGATTCAAGAGTTAAGAATGATACAAATATTGGTTTTTCTTTCTTTTAGTGATCTTGAAATGCCTCTATATTTACTTCAAGCTCATTATAATTGATTCAATACTCAGAGTTATTGTGCTAGCGAAGGTTTGGTCATTATACATCTGATGCAATATTTTCATTTTTTTCATGATTCAGCTAAAACCAATATTGTTCAAGAAACTTTTCGACAAACAAAGTTTTTTCGATAATTCAATTGTGTTTCTTTTCCTAGTGTGAAGAAATTCTGATGATGAATGTATATCATCATTATCATATGATAGAAATCTTATTTGATTTGATTCATATCGTTTTTTTACCATTATCGCCATTTACCTATTAATTGTGTTATTAGTGAAGAAAATATATCACCGATACCAATGGACACTTGTGAAGGTGTAGTAACAAGGAATTATCTCCTATAAAATATGTACTAGAACTTTTACTATTAAAAATATTTCGTATTCCACGAGACTGTTACACTATATTATAGCAAATGATCAATATGACATTGTGATTCTTCATTTTTTTGCTGCTTGAACAACATGCTATCTGTTTTCCTTCTGTTTTTGATTACTTTCGCACATAAAAGAAATAAAAAACAGTTTGTCAACTTGAAATAAAACTATTTTACATAATGTATATAATGTTTAAATATTTCAGAATCTAGAAGGTCCGTCAAATATGAATATTAGTTATCTACCAGATTTAGAATAAAAAAAACCCAATGTGTGTATTGGATTTTG